TCCTCCTCCTCCTCCTGGGCCCCCCCCCAAAAACCTGGCAGAATCAAGGGCGCTCCCACGAAACGCAGACCGCAACATGCTCCACTTGGCGGACACTGGCCGATCAGTCGGCCGAAACCCACGTGGCGACAACCCCTGGGGAACCGCAGGAGGCCTTCCTGGGACCGTTTTTTCGTCCCGAATCGTTTCTTGACGGCCCCTGGGCTTGGTTAGGACTTCCAAAGGCAGGTATTGCCGAAAACTGAAAACAACGAATGGCGGCCGCCCCCATACCCGACTTTCGACTCGAGAAATGATTCGTGGCCCAACTTAGAGATTCACGATGGCGGGGGGCGTCTATCTTCGATAACGGTGCGCCCGATCAGCTCCCTGGGGGTCTGTCTATCCTCGGATTCCCCTTCTCTTCTGTACTGCAATCGTGGCTTCAAGGATCTTTTCCATTCCTGTCACTTTCTTGCGCCATCCAGCGCGAGAACGGCGCTTTCCTGCCACCTTCCCACGCGCTGCCAAAGCACCCGTTGTTGAGCACCCGCCTCGGTGGCACTGAGGGGAGACAACGGCTATATGTTGCTTCCCGCCCTTCGGCCTTCAGACACCTCCTGGGCTGCGCTCTGACGGAAATTCCGGAGGGGAGTGGCTCTGGTCGTGGCGACGAGCAGCCGCCGAAAGCTTGAGCAGGGATGAGAACGGCAAAACTACTCAAGCCTCGAACCCCGACGATGCTGATCAGCTGACGCAGCTGACTTCCCCGGCGCCTCTCGGCGCCAGAGGCGCCAATACGTCGAGGAAGGCACCCGGCGGCGGGGCCGAATCCAGCTGCATGCAGCAGCGATCGCAGAGGTTCTGACTGAGCCTTCTCCCTCCTGGGCTGAGGCGATAGCCTGTTCTCGGTTGCCTCGGCTGGTTCTGTAAGGCTGGGTCGGCTGTAGCCTCTCGCAGGGCCCAGTGACTACAGGATATTCTCCAGTGTAAGATCCGCAGAAGCTTCTTGACCATATGGAGCAACATCTGCTTGTGCCTTGGGCCAGCCACAGGCTTCCGAGGGGGAGCCAACTGCAGAGCCCTCAGAGGATGCCCAAGTATGATAACCATACGTGTGGGGATGGGGGTCTTGCAGGCATACCTTTTCTTTTCTGTCTACATTGAGCACGCTGCATGCGACAGAGCTGCCTCTCACACTGTCGACGATGTCACGAACTGATCAATCGTCAGAAGTCTGGCGAAGATGCTCGGATGGTTGCGAAAAGTGCCGTGTGCTCAGAATAGACCGAAACGTCGGCGAGTAGGCAACTCTTCTTGCACGCTTGGCGTGCCGCTCGCGCCCGCCACCGGGCACGGCGCACCGACGCTACCGCTGGCCCGATTCATAGGAGAAGGCGTACTGGAGCCCCCCAGTGCTGGCCCATGGTCCGGGTGTCTGCCGAGGGGGGCAGAGAGGGAGCTTGTGAGAAGGCCCGCCGCCGCCTGAGAGGCCGAGCTTGCACGCGACCTCTGGCTCAGGGTGCCGCAGAGCGGCGCAGACGCGGAGCGGCTCGTGAGGGCCACGCTCGACGGAGTCGTCGGGCTTCTGGCGCCGTGCTGTGGCGCACGGCTTCGCGGTCGCCCATGCCGCCACACAGACCTGAAGGACATGAACAGAGGCACCGCAAGCCCCACCAGGACGATGGCGCAGAAGTGCCAGTGGTCGTTGACGAAGTACTCGGAGCTGTCCAACAGAAATATCCAAAACATGTAAGAAGTCAGAATAATGGCCACTGTTGTTGAGCACCAGAGCAGGCGCGTTGCCCAAACTACAAGGTGTGCACACTCTTCTCGCCAAAACGCGGAAAATTGATCCTGGTAGTCCACTATGAACCTACTAAGATCTGCAATGACATCAGCCTGCTCCTTTGACACAGACTCAAGAATCTTCTCCGACTGTTGCGATTCCGAGATTGTTGAATGAATGGGTTGGTTTATGATGCCCTTCCGCAACTCTTGTAGAGCCTCAAGCGTTGATCCGAGCCAAGTGTCAAGGCGACCCTTGCACTGCAGAAGCAAAAGAATCGCCCAGAAAGGTAGGATCAAGTCAATACCAACCATATATACCCAAACCGTATGCATCCACGGGTATCTAACCACGATGCAGTCTGAAGGGTCGTGAGCGTTCTGTGGACAATCAAGACCTGGAACAAATTGGTCTGAGAATTGCAGCGTGTTGAGCGCGAAAGGTAAAATCAATGCGTTTAGCAACAGCAAGGAATCCAATCGCTCAATGTATGTGTCGTAGGTGCCTCTGACATCATCACGAGCGGCTCCGAGTAGATCTATCTTTAGAGCCTGGGCATCGAGAGCGAAGTTCTTGCGAGACCATCGCACCTGCTCGCGTTGATGCGCATGACCTTGGGCAATTTGCCCGAACTGGCCAAGGTTTGCAATATGACCGAGGGCAGACAACAATGCCATCGGTCCGCTATGCGGACCGCAATATTGAACCACATGGACTACGCAGAAGACTCCGTGCGGAGAAGAGGAAGACGGAGAGATGGCGGGCGGGCGGGCGCATGGAGGGGCGGGCCGCTCGATTGAGGACACAGGAGACAGCACTCACATATGGAATGCCGGCACGTGGACCTCGAGCATTGGCGGCGGGGAGAGGCCGACGGGACAAGCACATCAGCTTGACCACGGGCGGCGCAGCACCCTGCACGCACTGCGTAGAAGCTCCGCTCCTGCCCTTGCGCGGCCCATGGCTTTCCCGCCTGCCAGGTCGTCGGAGGCGGGACCGCGCGCGAGCGCCTTGCGTTCGAGACGTGGGAACGAGCGCCAGTCCCAGTATCGGGCGGCGCCAGCAGCGGACCTGATGCCATGGGAGGGACAGTAGCAATTGGCGGGGCCTGCTTTCTCGCTAGGCCTTGCCAGCTAGGCCCTGCCGCCTGATCCTCTAACTCCTCCTGCTCCGGATCTCCTTCCTTTCCTGGCACCGTATCTCTCTCTCTCTCTCTCTTTCTACTCCCTCCCTCTCCTTCTCCTGAACTCCCCTCATCTTCTCCCTCCCCTCTTCCTCCTCTTGGCCCTCCCTCCCTCCCTCTCCCTCCATCTCTCTTCTTCCTGTCTCACCCGTTCGTAGCAATTCCGTCGGTTTGAATATCCCGCCTGGTTAAAAAATGCCTGGCCTTCTCCTCCTACCCCCATCTTCTCCCTTATGCTCCTCCTTCTTCTCCTCCTGTTTCGATCCCTCCCTTCCATTTCCCCCTTCCCATGCCCACCACTTTTGTTGTAGAAGAATCCCCACACGAATTCCGTTGTAGGGCCCACTGGTCAGTAAAGCAAAGACTCGCATGTCATGAGCCTTATCCGTTAACAGAAGCACACAACACAAATACTAATGGCACTGACCACCTTGATACTTTTGCGTGCTTTGGGATCTGCTTGTTGTTGTAAGGGGCAGGTCCCAGTGCAACCACCGCGCATCTCGGTGGGCCTCAGTTGCCCCAAGATGCGCGACAAAAACCGCTATAGCGAAACCCATGGAAGAGCCCGAACAAACATCGAGCCCCTTCCGAAAGCAAGGCGGGCCTTGTCCCAAAGCTTCGACCGTGTGAGAGGTGGCGCGGCAGACACCTCTTGACTCCTGCTCCGCGCCGGCCGCGACCCTCCCTCTTTCCCCCCACCTCCTCCTCCTCTCCTCCTCCTCCTCCTCCTCTCCTCTTCTCTCCTCCTCCCTCCTCCTCCTCCTCCTCCTCTTCCTCCCTCCTTCTCCTCTCCTCCTCCTCCTCCCCCTCCTCCTCCTCCTCCTCCTACTCCTCTCCTCCTCCTACTCCTCCTCCTCCTCCTCTCCTCCTCCTCTCCTCCTCCTCCTCCTCCTCCTCCTCCTCCCCTCCCTCTCCTCCTCCTCCCCGGAATCCTCTCTCCTCCTCCTCCGTCCTCCTCCTCCTCCTCCTGCCTCCTCCTCACCTCCTCCTCCTCCATGGCCTCCTCCTCCTCCTCCATCTCCTCCTCCTCCTCCTCCCCACACCCCTCCCTCCTACTCCTCCTCCTCCTCCTCCTCCTCCTCCTCCTCCTCCTCCTCCTCTTCCTCCTCCTCCTCCCAACTCCTCCTCCTCCTCCTCCCTCCTCCTACCTCTCATCCTCCTCCTCCATCTTCCTCCTATCTCCTCCATCTCCTCCTCCTCCTCCTCATTCCTGCCTCCTTACTCATCTCTTCCCTCTCCTCATCTCCTCCTCCCCTCCTCCTCCTCGTCCTCCTCCTCCTCCTCCTCCTCCTCCTCATCCTTCCTCCTCCTCCTTCCTTCCCCCTCCTCCTCCTCACATCCCTCCTCCTCCTCCTCCTCCTCCTTCCTCCTCCTCATCCTCCTCCCCCCTCCTACTCCCCTCCTCCTCCTCCTCCTCCTCATCCTCCGCCTCCTCCTCCTCCTCCTCCTCCTCCTCCTCCTACCTCCTCCTACCTCTCCTCCTCCCCTCACTACCCTCCTCCGCCTCCTCGCCTCCTCCTCCTCTCCTCCTCCTCCTCCTCCTCCTCCTCCTCCTCCTCCTCCTCCTCCTCCTCTCTCTCTCTCTCTCTCTCTCTCCGTCCCCCCCCTGTCGCGGTGGCCTTCCAGATGGGGCCGGAGCAGACGGGGCAGAGAGCTCGCATCGCACTGCCAATATGCATCGGCGACGCTGGGAGGGGGGAGCCGTGGCTCGGGCTCGCGCCCCGTCGCTCGTGCAGCGGCGCTGGGCGGCGCGAGCCTCGGGCGAAACTTCCCCGCCTCTCGCCTGGCTCCGCCGGGGGGGCCCAGGCTCCGCCGCTGCCCCGCGGCGGGCCACGACTGCACGGGCGCGTTGTGGAGGGGGCCAGCAGGTGCAGGGCGCCCCGGCCGAAGAAGGGAACACGGGCGCGGGACTTTGAGCTACGACCTGCACGACAGGATCGGCGACATTGGCCTGCGGTGCAGTCAACAAGTGCTCAACGATAATGACACGATCATGAAGCAGGATAATACTAATCATAAGAAACGCCATAAACAGAAAGATGTGGCGCTCCGCGTGGCGTCGGCCAGGTTGGACATGCTGCAGCCGGTGCTGATGCTCCGCCGGATGTTGCTGGGCCGCAGCTCCTCGGGACGCGCCCCCCGTCCCTCTACCGCCAGCTCAGACCAATGGCCCTCCTCTCTCGCAAGACATCCTGGATACAGTGGAGGCCAGTCCACAAGACACCTTCCGCAAGAAACCTAACCGTGAGACATCAGGACGTCCGTGGATTTTTGGTGTGGGAACGTTACGCTTTCCACAGCAAAACCATCGAAACCCAAGAAACCCAGGGCACCCTGGAGGCAGGCACGGTGTTTCTTGGCATGGGCCTCCACTGCAGGCGCGCACAAGGTCGTGGCGCGAGGAGGCTTGTTTTTATCAGCAGAACATCGAAGCTGGGCAAGGTCCTGAAACATCTGGCCCGTGCGTGTCTGACGGGAGGTTGTACGCCCGAAGAGGTCCAGACTGGCTGTGTCACGGAGTGCCCCTTGCCGAGGAGGACGAGGATGAGGATAAAGACGAGGATCATAGAGGAAGAAATAATGGCACAAACATAAACTTTCATCGCTCCGCGCGGATTTCTTGGACTGCGCTGGACCCCCCCCGGCGGCGCCTCCGGCGCCGGCGCCGCCCCTGGCGCGCTCCGCGCGCCAGGGAGGGGGGTCCAGCGCAGATCCAAGAAATCCGCGCGGAGCGTCGAACGTTTATGTTTATGCCGTCTTTTCTCCTCTCCGAGATCAGGACGGTGGCGCCAGGAGTGCTGCGGCAGGGGGCTTCTCGAGAAGGAAAAGGGGCCTTCTCAGAAGGCCCCCCTCCCCTCGCGCCATCCTCCACTCTGTGCGCGCCGCCGCTCGCTGGCTCTCTCTCTCTCTCTCTTTCTCTCTCTCTCTCTCTCTCGCTCGAGGAGGCCGCTGGGGGCCCTGGAGAAAATCACGAAGGGCGCCTTGCCTGCCCTGCCGCGGGCCCTCCCGCGTGAAGAGCAGAGCTGGTGCCACGAGCTCCGTGGCCGCGTGGCACGGTCGGAGACTTTTGCACAGCGTGTGGCGGCGGCGGCCCCGGCGACACGCTGTGCCTTGCGAGCGGACAGCGTGTCGCTCCGCTCCGCGGGCGGGAGGCTCGGAGAAGCCCGAGACGTGAGCGCTCGAGGGCTGGAGAGTGGATGGCGTGTCGCGCCGAAACGTGGTGGACCAGAACCGGCGGAGCGACACGCTACCCAAAAGTTTCTGATCGTAATCGACCCCTGACCCAAAGCACATGACTGCCAATGTTGGACACAGATGTAAAGCTCTTTGTCGCCATGTGGTTCATTATGAGCCGCGTCTACGCCGCAGATGGGGGAGGGGTGCTGGGAAGGGACATGCCACTCCTTGACAACAAAAACTTTGCCGCGATCTGTGGCCACCGCGATTGCTACGGCATCCTCCGAAACCGAAGTGGACGTTTCGTTCGGGGTTGGACATTACGCAACGACTCTGGTCGCCACTTTCCCGCAGCATCGTGTTCTTCACACGGCGCGGTGTGTCGGAGCCTGCCTCACAGTCCGGCAGGGCTTGGGGTCACGAACAAGCAGCGCTCAGAGGCTGGTCTCAGCAGGCCCTGGAGGTAGTCTGAGTTGGTCTCAACAAGCCCCATGACGACCAGGACGACGATCGACTACACGCAAGAGCGACCCTGGGTAAGAGTGTCCTTGGTGCGCGGTTTCTTCGGGGCCGCGGGAGAGCCAAAAACCAAGCGCGCAAGCCGCTGCTGTCGCCTCGCGCTCAGCGATCGAGAAATCGGGGGGCCCCGAGGAGCCCGCCTCAGAGGTCACTCCGGCGACGGGTGAACTCTCACGTGCCGTCGAGACGACCGACCAGCGCCGCCTCCAGCAGCGCCCCCTCCTAAGGCACTCGGCCCAGACCACCCAGGGGGGTCCTTGCGGAGGCCACCGCGGGGGGACATTCCAGGGGGCTATAGCAAAAGCGGGGGCTAGCAGGCTGGCTGTGTACCTCTGCCCTCTCGTAGGTGACTCTCCGCGAGTGCGTCGAGGCGCCAGTCCGCCCGGACCGCTCGGCATCGAACCTGTTGTGGATGCCTCGGGCTCGGACCGCCTCGGGCTCGCACCTCTTTCCCTTTCCCCTGCACCCTTTGTCGCGGCCCTTCGGGCAGGATCGACTTTTGGTGCGCGGCTCCTTCGGGGGCCGCGGGGGGGGGGGACCTCGACACGAGCGCGCGAGGCACTACTGCCGCAACGAATTCGGCGATCGGGGGACCCCGGTGGGCCCGCACCCACGGTCACTCCGGCGAAGGGCCACTCTTATACGTGCAGCCGACACTTCTGCCGGCCCTTCGCCGGCGAGCCCGCCCCCCGCTGTCTTCCGCCGCCTTCCGCCGAAGGAGGGATGCCGGCTGCTCGATCCGCGGAAGAGGAGGTCCCTTCTGGCACGCCCCGTGTACCCATGGGTGCCGGGCGCTGGAGCCGCAGCTGGCTGCAGAGAGCAGTCTTCCCGCCCCCGTCTTCCCGCCCCCTCTTGCCAGAACCGCTCGAGGCGGGCCGAGACCACCTCCAGGCCGGGGCCTCTTCCGCGGGAGGCCCCAGCGGAGGAGGAGGAGGAGGAGGAGGAGGAGGAGGAGGAGGAGGAGGAGGAGGAGGAGGAGGAGGAGGAGGAGGAGGAGGAGGAGGAGGAGGAGCTGCCGGCCCCGCCGTCAGCGTGGGCCCCGCGGCGCCCGCTGCCCGACGCCCCGGCCGGCCTTGGAGGAGAAGCCGGCGGCCTGGACCTCCTTTCAGAGCGCCAGTGTCTCCCCCCTGTGGCGTCCGTATCTCGGCAGGCGTTTTTCGGGCCGCGCATGGCCGTGGCGACGACGGGGGGTGGGGGGTACTGGGGGGGGGCCACCAGACGTCGGATGCCTGGATTCCTTTCCGACGCGGGGTCGCCGACACCCAGCCCCTTTCCCCAGGGCCGGCTTTCCATCCCGAGCTGTCGTCTGGCAGCCCCAGAGCCTCAGAGCGGCCCCCGCAGGCCCAAAGAGGGACCACCGAGCAACTCCGTGCTGCGCAGCAAGATGTTGCATGCCTGGGCTTTCGGGCCATCACTCGGGTCTCCGACGGCCGTCTGGGACGATCCGGGCAGCCCCGTAACGCTCTCGGCGAGAGGCATCTGCCGGAGAGCATCCCGAGGCTGGAAGGCCGCCGGCCACCGACGAGCGCGTCAAACAGCCTCGAGCCTCGAACCCCCGCTGCACCCCTCCGCTGCCCGGGGGGCCCAGCCCGAGACATCCTCGGAGAGCCGCCCAAGTCCCAAGCCCGTGCGGTCACCCCGAATCCCAGCTGACTAACCAGTCGGTGTGCTCACCACACGGTCTGGGGATCGCCGAGAAAGGGCCGGGGATCTGGATCATCAAGGTCTAGTGGACGTTTTTTTGTTGTCTGGGGCCTCCAGAGATCTCTCCGAGGACTCCCTCAGCCTTAGCTTCGGTTGGCAAGGCCGCTGCGCCCAGCGACCCGTGCCCCAGGAGCGGTCAGTATCGAATCGAAATCGATACACTGGCTCGAATGGGAACGTGCATCGAACTGGGCCGCATTGGCATGGAGCTGGAATCGAACCGGATCGGCTGCGCGAGGATGCACAGCAGTGCCATGATGCAAGCATTGGGCCGCGTCGGACCGACGGAGCATCGGAACAGCATCGGCTCGAGCTGGCCGAAACCGACATCGAATCGGATCCATAAGATCAAAGCGGGCCCCGCCATGCCCTCAGTCATTCTGCTGGCCGGGCTGGCTCGCCACACTAGACGAGCGCGTTCCACTACTCGTAAACTAGCTACTCGCAAATGGAATGGATCCGCCACAGGGGATCTGCGAAAATATGTACATCACAGCAGACATGTGTTTTTGGGAAGTTTGCGAGTAGGTACTTTGCGAGTAGTGGAAGGCGCTCGGCGACACACGGTAGGGTTTCCGCACCGCCTGCCCCCACCTCACGTAGGAGTGCCGGAGGGAGGAGGACTGGCTGTGGGTCTGGGTGCGAGTCGCTGGACCCCCGGGCAGGCTGCTTCTCGAGCGGGGGGCCGGGCCCCCAGCCGGCCACACGCACCCATGGCCCCTTTCCGCCCCCTCCCCCCCCTGTGGGCATGGGAACGTGCTCGGAGGCAGGAGAAAACGGCATAAGCATAAACTGTTGGAGGTCCGTGCGGATTTCTTGGACCTGCGGCGGACCCCCCACCCTGGCGCGCGGAGCGCGCCAGGGGCGGCGCCAGAGGCGCCGCTGGGGGAGCCCAAGCGCGGAGCCAAGAAATCCGCCCGGAGCGCCAAACATTCATGCTTACAGCGTTTTTTCTTCTTCGACCCATAACCCCTTCCGCCCTCCCCGTGGGTATGTATGTGTGTGTGTGTGTGTGTGTGTGTGTGTGTGTGTTCTAGACAAGCGCGATCCACTACTCGCACAAGGAACTGCTCGCAGATCGCCTGGATCCGCCATGGGGAATTTTACGACCTACCATATCGATGCAGACTTGTGTTTCTCGGACGGGCGCGCGCTCCCGGGTCCCCAGGTCGCCGCCGCTGCGCCGCTGCTGCCGCCCCAGCCCGCTCATGGTGGAATCCTTCTGCCTCTGAGCGCCTCCTCCTTCCCTTCCGCCCGCGGCCCCTCTGTCCTCCTTCCGCTCCTGCACGCCGGGCAATCATCTTAGTCATGCCCCTGTTTCGCCCTTTCGCTGGTGCGGGCTGCCCCGCCTCGCCGCCGACGAGAAAAAAGCATCTGTTTCGGACGTTTGCGAGTACAGTCGGGGCCCTGAAGAAGGAACCCTTTTCGTTAGGGAGGGCTCCGCGTTCTTTAAGTGTTTCGCGGCTTGCCTCAAGTTTTCCTCATGTCTTCGATCGGAAATCGCAGCCTAACTCATGGAAAAAAGGGGCCTCGCTCCTTATTTGGGGTTCCTAAGGTCAAGGCCCCGACTGGAAGCACTCTGCGAGTCGTGGAACGCGGTCGGTGCTGTCCAGTCGTCCTCGCGGCCGCCCCCCCCTCCCCCGAGGAAGGCTCCGCCCCTCGCCCCGGTGCCGCCGCTGGCGGGGGGGCCGGAGGAGGCGCGGCTGGGCGAGAGAGCGCCGGCTGCGCGGGCCCTCGGCGGGCCGCACGACCTCCGCCGCCCCTCCGGCCCCCTCCCCCTCCTCCTCCTCCTCCTCCTCCTCCTCCTCCTCCTCCTCCTCCTCCTCCCTCCTCCTCCTCCCTCCTCCTCCTCCTCTCCTCCCCTCCTCCTCCTCCTCCTCCTCCTCCTCCTCCTCCTCGCTCCTCCTCGCTCCTCCTCCTCCTCCTCCTCCTCCTCCTCCTCCTCCTCCTCCTCCTCCTCCTCCTCCTCCTCCTCCTCCTCCTCCTCTTCCTCGCTCCTCCTCCTCCTCCTCGCTCCTCCTCGCTCCTCCTCGCTCCACACTCCCTCAACCTCACTCCACGCTCCCTCCCAGGCCTGTGGGGCCGCTTGCCATGGTCTTGCGTTCGCTGTATGGTCTCTCATTCCGGTGCACATCTACTGCATTTCACCGGGGCTGCAGGCTATGTATTCTGGCGTTTTCTGCACTGTTCAATTGGTACGTACTTTTTTGGCATATTATTGGGCTTTGGGCAGCTGCAAACGTGTTCGAGGGTGTCATCTCGGCGAGCGGCACTGTCGTGGCTTCAGTGGGGGTCGCCTTAGCGTACAGTGATTTGTTGGTGGGTATTCTGCCCCGCCTGGCGGTCGGCGAGCTAGGGGTTCGCCCTTGTGGCTCACCGCCAGGGGTTGAGCGGCTGGTGCTTCATTACATTTCTTTGTGGTGCTTCCATTTGTCGTTTCTGGCGCTTTTGTTCCATTCACTGGTGCTGGTATTCATGGCTACTTGTGGGATTGGCAACTTTTCCCGTGCGCTCTACATCGTTCTTGGGTACCTGAGCATGGCTCGTTCCGCATATCGTGCACAGTGTCACGGTTCTGCGTGCAGTTTTTTGTTATGCAATTTTCGTCACGCCTGTCCTGGCGCTTGGTCAAGGCAAGAGGGACATGAGTTTCACATCACAATTCTGGTGGGGGGGGGGGCGGCTGTCATTCCATTTCAGCTCAGTTTCCAGCTTTGTCACGGTCGTGGTTTGGGGCAATCTGGTGAGTTGTTTGCAGAGTTCGTGTTGGTATCGGCGTTCTGTCCGCTTCTTGGTCACGCTGGCCGTGGTTTTCAGGCGACAAGTTTGTCGTGCCACCTCTACACTGTGCACTGGTCAAGGCAAGAGTTACATATGTATCCAGCTGGTGTCGGGGTTATGGAGCGAGGCCATCTTGTGGTGTAGGCGATCCGCTTCACTGTCGGGTTGCACGAGCTGTGCACGGCAAGTGGCTGTGCGGTGTGCCTAATCGAGTTTTCTTCACTTCAACTTAGTATTCATTCACATCCTAGCACTGGTCTGACGCATGTTGTACATTGCTTGCAGAGTCTTTGCTGGAGTCGGCGGTCTTCTGCTTCTTGGTCGTGCTGCTCGTGGCGCTCAGCGGGTGGCTTACTTTTCGAATCGCTTCGCGATTGTTCTCATCTCATATCATCCAATCCCATCTCATCTAATCACATCTCATCTCATCTCATCTCACCTCCTTCTCCTCCCTCTCCTCCGCCTCCTCCTCCACCATCTTTCCACCTGCTTCTTTCCCTCCCCCTCCTCCTCCTCCTCCTGCTCCTCCTCCTCCTCCTGCACCCCTCGTTCTCATCCCTCTTGTTCCCACTCCCTCGTTCCTCCCTGTCGTGCTTCTCCTCTTCTCCTCTCCCCTCCTCCCCGCGCGCGCGGGATGGGGGATGAGAGGGAGGGAGAGGGGAGGGGGAGAGTGGAGAGTGGAGGGCGAGAGAGGGGGGGTGGTCTCAGCCATCTTCAGGGTTTTCGTGACGCGGACCCTGGGGGCTCTCGACTCGGCCATCCCGTGGACTGCGCTTCGTTCAAAGCATCTTTTGACGGCCCTGGGTCCTTGAACTGGCTTCCACAGGGAGAACATACGGAAAACCGGCCGTGGCGTGCTTTTTCCCCAAGCGCCAGGTGTCTGATTCGGGGTTCGTTCTGTCCAGCATTTCGAAGGGCATCCATCCTTGGCGACGAGGGGGCCCTGGGAAGCCCCCCCCCCTAACACACACCCAAAAAACATCCAAAGCCCCGCTCCTCGATGCTCCTCGGACCTCCCAAAACCTCCGACGCCGCCATGCCTTCACACCGCGCGGGCCCCCTGGAGGTGCCGGCCCCCTCCCAGGGGACCGACCTCCGATCCCCAGGGTCGGGCGGGTGGCACACTCGGGGGTGGGCCACACGATCGGGTGAGGAAACGTGCCCTGAATAGGGGGCGGGTGGCACACTCGGGGGTGGGCCACATGCTCGGGTGAGGAACAGTGCCCTGAAGGGGGCCTTTTGGGGTTCCCTCTTGGAGCCCGCAGGGGCCCCAAAAGGGGCAGGGGATCCTCAAGGGCAGGGGCAGGGGCCCAGAGGAGGCCCTTCAGGTCGCCCGCTGGAGCCAACAGAGGCCCTTTCCTTCACCCTCCAGTATTGTAATCCTCCACAAAAGGAATCCGAATGAAATCCTCACAAAAGGAATCTTATTGTAATCCTCCGTGCCCCCCCCCCACTGCCACCCGCCCGACAGCGGCCTTTGAACGGTCCTGGGGGCCCGGTCGCTGAGGGTCCCGGAGGCCGAAGATTGCCCCAGGCCGTCCGTCCCGAAGTCTTCACTAGGGCTCCCAACTTCGCGCTTCGCGCTCCGCGAAGCGCGAATAACTTCGCGCTCTCGCGCCGCCCCCCCAAAGGGAGAAGAGGAGGACGAGGAGGAGGGGGAGGAGAAACGAGGACCGCGAAGCGCGAAGCGCGAATAACTTCGCGCCCTCGGGGGAGCCCTGGCTTCACGAGGAGAGGAGGCCTGGGGCTCCTCCCTCGGGGCGGCAAGCGCGGAGGGAGGGTCTCGCGGCGCTCCGTGTTGTTGGTGCCCTCGCTGGCGATCTGCCTGGCGGACTCGAGGGCCATCTCGTGCGCGTCGCGGACCCTCGGTGTCCAGAGCGGATTATCGAGGGCGGACGAGGTGGGAGGAGAGGCAGGCAGAGGAAGAGGAGGATGAGGAGGATGAGGAGGATGAGGAGGATGAGGATGAGGATGAATCTGAGGATGATGATGCTGCTGCTGATGATGATGCCGATGATGACCATGACGATGACGACGAGGATGATGGTGAGGATGATGAAGATGACGATGACGATGACGATGACGATGATGATGATGATGCTGATGACGATGATGATGATGATGATGATGATGATGATGATGATGATGATGCTGCTGATGCTGATGCTGATGATGAGGAGGAGGAGGAGGATGAGGATGACGAAGGTGACGATGATGCTGATGATGAGGAGGAGGAGGAAAAGACGGAGGTGGATCCAATGAGGAGAAGGGAGGTGGAGGGTGGTGGAGGGGGGGAGAGAGGAGGAAGAGGGGGAGGATGGAAAGGACGAGGAGGAGGAGGAGGAGGAGGAAGAGGAGGAGGAGAAGGAGGAGGAGGAGGGGGTGACGAGGGGGCTGGGAGCAAGGACGAGGAGGAACGGGAGGAGGGGAAGGATGGAGGAAGGATGAGAAGGAGCATGAGGAGGAGGAGGAGGAGGGATGCGGATGAGGATGCGGGAGGAACAGGATTCATGATCATGAGGCTGAGGGAGGTCGATCAGGAGGAGGAGGAGGAGGAGGAAGAAGAAGAGGATGAGGAGGAGGAGGAGGGACGGGTGAGTCGAGGCTAAGACTCGCACATGACCCGACATAACTTTTTCGTACAAATCCCCGAAGGTATGTACCACCGCATGCCCAAGCGGTTGGCTCTGGGGGGGGAGAAAAGTAACAATGCCACTGCGATGCCGCCAAATACCACCAGCCCAGTACTATACGTAGGTGGTTAGACGTATTTGCCCGCTCTCTCGACGATCCTCCTTCTTCCCATTGGAGAAGGTTTTGCCCCTCCACATCCCCCCTGTCCCTGGGGGGCTGACCTGGTGCGGTCGTCGGTAGGCATCTGAGGTCGTGCAGGAGGGCCCTACAAAGATGAGTCCAACGGTGTTCTAAGCACGCCCCCCAAGGGCACCAACCTCGCCCCAATATAGAGCCCCAGTCTGGCTCCCATCGGGCTCCGAGGGAGCGATGCTACTCTCTATTTTGTGGAAAGAACTACCATTCGAATACATACCTGGACCAACCGTTCAGCCAACCCTCTGGCCAACCCCGGTTCGGATATTTAAATCATTCTACGCTGTAGCTGAATGCTCCCCTGCTGTTCTGGTCGATGGCCTCCAAGAGGGCTCGAGAGCCCCTCCAAATAGCCTCACGAAAGCCGCAAGAGGGTCACATAGTTACGCCATAGAGCCCGAAGAGACCCACCCACGATTGCTCCAAGGGAAGTTCAAGAGGCCCTCACAGAGTCCAACGTTGACAATTTTGGGAGGCTGCTTGGGCTTATTCCTTCTGCCCTTCCAGTGCTCCCTCACTTCCTCCTCAAAACGACTTGCCCAGGAAGTACCAGTTTCGGGGGCGTTGGGACAGCCGCGGCTGATTAGATAGCACGCAAAGCACTGAGCCAACACCAGCTTCGGCACAGAGCAATTCCATTGTCTACGCTGCGTGACAGACCACCCCCAGGAGTCGGCTCTACGCGACGCAAGGCCGATTTCGGAAACTCAGAACCCAAAAATGTTGCCATCTCTCGCAGGCGCATCTTTAACTTTCGCCGCCTTCCGCCGGCCTTCCGCCGCCTCCCGCCGGCGGATGCGGCCTCGTTTTACTTCCGCCGCCTTCTGCCGAGGAGTAGACACCAACTCCTTCGGTCCTAGACAAGGCGAAGCCCTGAAGAGCTCGCTCGCCCCACTCCTCCTGGAAACCGTGCGGCGGCAGGGTCCTGTGCTCCAACTGGTGCCTCGAGTTGAACTCGAAGTGCAGCACCTTCGAGTGGAACTGGATCACCGTGGGCCGGTGCGCCACGCTGAGGTAGCCGATGCCGCGGCTCCGGCACGCCTGGCGGGGGCGCGCCTCTCTCGGGCGGGCGGGGGCGACGAGGTTGGCAGGAGGGCGCAGGTGCTGAGGCAGCCCTGACGCCGCGGCTCTCGACACGCCCGACGTGGGGGTACCGCCGATCCCAGACCCCCTCGCGTGGTGAAAACATCGCGGCGAGATAATTTTCGCTATTTTCGGCGACTCCGGGGGCCCTTACAAAGACCTCGGGACCGTCTAAGAACGTGCCAGGACGGAAAACCGGTCCCGGGGAAGGGGTCCAGACCTGTGGGGGTCGACGTCGTGAAAAAAAACACTACGTCGGGGATCTGGGATCGGGGGACATGCCTAGCAGCATCTGCTCTGAACTCGGAAGCCGACAATGGTAAAACCCATCCATACTGTCTTCCAAGACTCTTGTGGAGCCTGAGGCCGCAAGCGTCTCGCGTGAAGTGCGGTAAGCTCTGAGCGCGGCTCCCTCTTCTGTCCTCTTCCGAGGCCGCTCTCCTCAACCCCGCTTGTCCCAGTGCGCAATCAGCCCTGCCGCGTCCCAACCCTGCTGCTCTCCGACGCACCGCGTCTTCACAGTGCCGCTGACAAGCAAAAGTGTTTTGAAGACGTTTGATGTCTTGGTCCCCGAACTGTTGAGCAGGGACCGACCGACCGTCCTGGCATTCCTATAACCCTACCACGAAATGTTCTTAGAACCCAAAAATGTTCTAATAACGAAAACAATGTTCGTATAACATAAGCCCGATGTGATAAAACAAGACAGACTCCGCCAGAAACGTTCTAAGAACATTTCGTGGAAACCACATCAGGTTCTTAGAACATTGTCTGGTAGGGTTATAGGCGAGCCAGGACCCTTCGCCACTGCTTGAAACTTTGCGATCAAGCACCTGTCCTTCTTGTTTCGCGGCGGCGGCGGCGGCGGTTCCAACGACACACTATGCCCTGCAAGCGGGATCGCGTGCCGTCCCGCCGCCTCGCGGGGCGTGTGCCCAGGGGGGACGCCGACGCTCGGGGACCGGGACCTGCTTGGCGCGACGCGCCGGCAGCGCGGTGGGCCAGCACCCGCAGCGCGGCGCGCCGAGCGCACACCTTTGACGCCGGCGGCGAGGCAAGCGCTGCACCGGCGAGCGGCGATCCGGGGCGACGGAGGCGCGAAGTGGCCGGCATGCAGGAGGGGGGCGCGCTGAGCACACGTTCCTGCAGGACCCTCCGCGTGGCAGAGCTCGACCCGAGCCAGTGCGGCGGCCCCCGGCAACCCCGCGGGCGGGGCTCCCTGGCGGGCCTTCCGGGCCTTCCCTTCCACCGGGCCTTCTGCTCCGTTGCCGCCGCGGCTTCTCCCCATGCTGTGCCCACCCCTCTGCCTCCTCGCGCCCGCCCTCCTCCTCCTCCTCCTCCTCCTCCTCCTCCTCCTCCTCCTCCTCCTACTCTTTCTCCTCCTCCTCCTCCTCCTCCTCCTCCTCCTCCTCCTCCCCCTCCCTCCCCCATATACCTTTGTCCCCTCTCTCTCCCTTTACCTCAGGGTGGCCTAATTGGCCAATTCAAGGGAACACACATGTGGATGGTTTGGCAGGAGATGCGGCAGACAAAGCCAGAGCTTTCGAGCAATATCGATTCAGACAGCATAATATCTAGCGCAAGGCTCGACTGGTCAGGCGTCGCTACCCTAGAGTAGGTTTGAAATCCATCAATGTCTCCTTTGACATCAGAGGGGCCCATCCTGGAGCCCAGCAGGTTCCTCCCCCTTCTCGGCCTTCGCCTCCTACAGCTGTTGCACGCTTCGCGTCTGCCCAAACCATGGCCGATACTAGCAGATATTGTGCAGTGTGCTTCGGCTTGATGTCGAAAGCTCTAGAGTCCGAATGGTTAAAATGAGCTTGCACCCCCCCCTGTCCGCTGACTTCGAATTGTCCTGAGTCTCGATTGGACAGCGTTTACACTTGGCATATGGCTGGACGCGCCTCTCACAAGCTCTTCGGTTGCACAAAGACCTTGGTACAGGGTTCTGCCGCTCATGCGGATGTCCCGGCCAGGCCCAACTCAAGGGCTTAGGAACATCCGTGCCGCCCCCCCTCTTCTCACCAGGGCCGGGCGCGAATGCCGCGACCGTACCAGTCGCGGCATGTTTCCCGCGTGCTGAGCTCAGCCCTTCGTCACTGCGTGGTGGCGAAGATCCTGGAGATGGCCCGGGCTCCTTCACTGGGACGCGGTCCTCCGCGCGCGGGCCTCGCCGCGTCTCGAGTCGTGGGTCTTCCCTCCTTGCTTCCTTCCTTGCCGTCGTCGTCGTCCCCTCCTCCTCCTCCTCCTCCTCCTCCTCCTCCTCCTCCTCCTCCTCCTCTCCCCTCCTCCTCCTCCCTCCTCCCCTCCTCCTCCTCCTCCTCCTCCTCCTCCTCCTCCTCCTCCTCCTCCTCCTCCTCCTCCTCCTCCTCCCTCCTCCTCCTCCTCCTCCTCCTCCTCTCCCTCCTCTCCTCCTCCTCCTCCTCTCCTCCTCCTCCTCCTCCTCCCCTCCTCCCCTCTCCCTCCTCCTCCTCTTCCTCCTCCTCCTCCTCCTCCTCCTCCTCCTCCTCCTCCTCCTCTCCTCCTCCTCCCCAGAGGGAGGAGGCTCCCGCAAGTGGCGAGCGTGGCACGAGATGGCGAGGCCCTGGAGCGCCAACACGCATGGGCCCGTTTGCGCGGACAGAGGCCAAGTCCGCCCCACCGCGCTCGTTTTATCTTACCTTACCTGATCCCCCCCCCCCTCCTGTTCCCCCCCCTGCTCCCCCTCCTCCCTCCCCCTCCTCCTGCTCCTCGATCTCCCCCCCTCCCCCTGCTCCTCCTCCTGTTCCCCCCGCCCCTCTGCCTCACAAAGCACTCAGGGCCCCCAGACGTGTCGGAAGGGCGGGGCGGCCGTTTCGCCTGATACTCCCTCGCCACTTGTGACCCTGACGCTTGAAACTTGCAGCAATTTCAGCGATGGAGGGCGGGTGGTTTTGATTTTGGTGGTCCTTGCTCCAGCGTCGCGCGCATTCATCGCTTGCAGCACGTTCGAAGACGCAAGGCGGTTCTTTTTCAAAACAGCGCTCTCGCCCTAGCGCCGCGCATATTCGTGTTAAACTCTTATACCAGTTTCAAGGACTCGGGAGGTCTGGTTTTCTGGCACGATGTGGGCTTGGCAGGACGCAGCAATCACGGTGATCAGCGGGGCTGAAGTCCCAGGAACTATCTTCTGACACGGTTCATGATTGCCAGGGCGCATTCGCCACGTTGATTCGCAACGTTTGTAGTTTCAGGCAAGGTGTTCTGGCGCGGTTGAGAAATCCGAATCGGTTATCCTTCAATGCGGCACTTCCCGCAATCAACATAGACTCCTGAAAGAACTTATGAAGAGGGAACTTGAATCATCGTTGATGCGTCTTTGGTTTACATTCGTCCTCCGCCTTCACCTGATCTGACTTTGCCAGCAGGTCTCACAGACCCCTTCATCCCAAACCTGACCCACTGCCGAATTCCCGCTGCTGTCTCGGATGCAAGAGATCGTGCGAGCTCAGAGGTGCGCACGAACCATATCGAACCAGATCTAACCTCACCAGACAATTAGTCTGATGCAAGCCAGTGGAGAAACAAAGTGATTTCCCCATTGGTGGCGGAATTGGTTGATCCAAGCGGCGACGATATCCGTGCTGGGAGGCCCGAACACGACAGACCCCAGCATGAGCGATTCCACGCACAATTGTGGACTTCGGTGCTTCTCTGACGACGGATCACAGGGACATCACCGAGAACTGCAAAAGTGGACCAATTGGGTAAAGGCAGCATTGTCTTGCAGGAAGCTAGAGGGATCCCAGATGGCCCACTTCGTGAATACTCTGCTGCAGGGCTCGGCTCTGGGGGTTGCAGACCAGCTGGAGCTCGAGGATTGTAAGGAGGACGGGGGTCGGGAGAGCATCATCGAGCTTCTCCTCAAGAGGTGGCCAACCAAGGTGCAAGAGAATGTGTTAGGAAGACACTTGGAGTCGACGTTCGCGTTCCGGGGGCTCGAGGGTGAAGCAGTGACGGCAGGGACCGGTAGGGCGAGAGAGACGCTCCAGAAGTGTGACATCATTGCCAAGGTGACGTTCTCGACTGAGGCCCAGTCCGTGGAGGCCGAGGCGGGCGGGCCGGGAACGGAGGAGCACGACGACGGCAGGAGGCACCACAACGGCAGCGTGCGTATGCCACGGAATGCCCCCTTCGGGGTGTCGCAGGGGAGAGGTCAAGCTGCAGCGAAAGCAGATGCGGGCCGGCCGCGGGGTTCCACAGCGCCAGCTCACGGCTCTCGTCGCGAGGTGCAACAGGCGGCTGCACTCGGCGCGCCGCGGCCGTGGGGGAGGGAGGCGGGGCCCCGCGTGCTGCAACAGCGCCTGCGTGCGGCGGCAGCTCGCCTACGACTACCGGTGGCAGGCGGAACACCGACTACAGTTAGGTCGGGCGTGTCCCCTACATGCGGATTTTGGAGGAAAAAAGAATCATATTCAAGACATGTTCAAAACATGTTCAAGCATATTAAAAATAAAACGTCCCAAGACTATGTTTTACTATTCTTGAATATTCCCCCTGTAGAGTGACAGGCCCGACTTAAGACTACAGTGGAGGTCAGTCCACAAGGAACCTTCCACAAGAAACCCAACCCTGAGACCCCAGGACGTCCATTGATTTTTGGTGTGGGAACGTCGCGCTCTCCACAGCAAAACCATCGAAACCCAACCCATGGCACCCTGGAGGCAAGCAGGGTGTTTCTTGGCATGTGCCTCCGCTGTACGGGTCGCGTGGGGGCACGGGCAGCGCGGTTACGACGATGGGAGACTGGGCTGCGGAACAGCCGCCGACGGGAACACACGCGGTGGCGCGGGGAGGCGCCCGCGCGGGGCGCGCCACTGCGCGACGACGGCAACACCGCCCCTGCTGCGAACACCACCCCCCGCGAGCACGGAGGAGGCGCTGCCAGCTGCTTTCAAAACGGCGGTGGCAGAAAATCTGGGACCGGGACGTCCCAGACATGTGGAAGACAAACTGCTGCGGGTGTGGACCAAGCGGCTCCCGCAACAGAACTGGGACGACCACGACGTATTTGATGCCCGGCGTGCGATGGACCGACAGCGTGGCACAACGGCAGGTACTGGCGGGTGGCCTGGGACCGAGGTGGCTGACCTGGGCGGCATGGTGGCCCTGGCCGTCGCCGCGGTGTTTGACGCCTTCGAGATGGGCAGAGGCCCTGCCGACCCCGTGGTCGGAGGCTGGCAGATTCACCTCCCTAAGGAGAGCCCGCTGGCGGGGGGAAGGGCCAACCCGGTCTTGCAACGCCGACCGATCACTGTGTTCGGCCCATGGTATAGGGTCTGGGCCACAGGTCGCCTGCGATCTCCCTCCTGCGCCGCCTGGTGCAAGGAGTTGCGGCCGCAAGAGGCCCGCGGAGCAAAGAAAGGTGCTAATTACGGTGCACGACGCGGCGGCGGGGGTCACCGCTGCCCTGGAGGCCGAGGAGTACGGCACGTCTTGGGACTACAGCTTCGCGTTCGCCCGTACGTCCTACGGCAGCAGCGACAGCAATCCACTTCGCGAAGATGCTGGGGAGGCACTGGACCAACCAACGACGGTGGCTAGAGCTACACGGGGCCACTGCCAAGCAACCCAAAGTCGTGTCCACCTCCTTCCCGCAAAGGGATCCGTGGTCCGCCTTGGCCATTACGGCCGTGCTCACGGGTCCGCTTTGTGAGGTTGCCGCGCGGGAGCCAGGGGTCAGCACAGCGCTGTGCGTCGGCGACCGTACCTGGACGTCTTGCACTCTCGACAGTATGCTTAGCGCCGCGGCCATCTGGGACGACTGGTCACCAACCCTGGGCATGGTGGAACGACAAGCAAGAGTGGGCGAACCGTGACTCGAGGAAGCGGCGGTACCTGCAGGCAGGAGTGCCCGCGCGGACATCATATTTCCAAGCCTGACAATCTTGGGGATGAGGTTCGCTGGAGGAAAGAAGCAGAGGGCTGCCAGCGCCAAGGAGGCCAAGCGCATGTCCAAAGCACAACGACAGGTGGAACGCGCGCCGTTGCTGCCGATCCCTTCCCGACAACGACACGAAGCGATAACTGCGGGGCCACTCTCTTCGACTCAATACGGGTGGTTCAACTCCACGCCGCCGCGCGCGGCCACGGACAAGCTCCAGGCGGCCGTACACAGCGCCACTGGTGCACCGCGACGGTCGTCACCGCACCGCAAGCGCCTGGTCGTGGGTTACCGGATCGACGCGCGGTTCCGCGCGCAGCAGGAGACGCCCGTTGCCGCAGCGCGGGTTGCACAGAAGAACGAACGACGGCAACACGCCAGGTGCTTGGGGGACCGGACGGACTCTGGAAATACTACCCAACAACACCTCAAGTTGCAAGGGGTGGAGAAATACGGCACAGTGGAAATGGTACCACCACGGGATCGACGAGAAGATCTCCCTGGACAGCACGGATTAGCACTGGCACTCGCCAAGATTAGCACTGGCACTCGCCCAAATTTCTAGGCCACATGCTACGGGAAGCGTGGCGGCATCACAAATTCCACAGCTGGTTGGGCACGACACGGAACGAGGCGCAGGCCTGCAGGACTGCCCACGACGACGCGAAGCGTCTCAAGGCCGTCATCGCCAGTGCGCAAGAGCACCCGTCTACGTTGGCAGTGCTCACGGGATGCCTTGTGTTATGTTGTTCCTATCCTACTTACGGGCCGCATCCCAGAAATAATTTCGAGCACCCAGAAAAGTGTCGAAACAGCGTCGAAAGAGTATCGCCTCCCAGGGCCCAACACGTGAAAACCCCTAAATACTCGGTATTTTCCTGGTACTCGAAATTATTTCTGGTGATCAAGGCTAAAGTAGATTGGAACATCCTAAGGGCCTTGTGTCGCCTGCCGCCTTCGAGCGGGGCACGGCCCTTCGATGGAATGCCCGTGGTGTGCGTGTGCTGTGCCAAAGACCGACCACGTGGTCCTGGGAGTGCCAAGGAGAGGCGTTCCAGGGCCGGCCTCATGCCCGCCCCGAAGGCGCTCTCCAAATACGCCTGGGATGGCCCACGGGCGAAATATTACGGAAGGAGCTGCACCAGCGGTTGCTGCTGTGGGTGGCAGATGTCAGGACCACAATCTTGGATCACAGGTACGGTGGTGCTCGTCACAAATATTATTGTGCCGACGGGGTCTCGAACCGCAACTCTGTTTCACAAGTACGGTGGTGCTCGTCACGGGTACTTTTGCGCCGACGGGGGCCTCCAGCCAAAATGTTGGTTCACATGTACGGTGGTACTGCTCATCACTGTTACTTTTTTGCGCCGACGGGGATCTCTTACCACAATTTTGGTTACAGGTGTGGTGGTGCTGTGCAATTGTCTTCAATCGCACTTTTGGGTCACATGTACGGCGGTTCTCGACACAGGTACTCTTGCGCTGACGGGGACTTCTAACCCCCCATGTCGTGCAAGCGCTGCAGCAGGCAGGAATTCCAGTTGAGCCGTAATTTCTCAGCCACCCAGAGGCAGGTTTACAGGTTTCACAGAGTGAAAGGTTTTAAGGCCGAGGTTTTTAACATTTGGCTTTGCCAGCAATGTCCCTCATACCCCTTCATCCTACACCTGTGCCCACCGCTGCGTGCCCGATGCCATTTTGGCAGCGATGGGCCTTGCGAGCTCAGGGAAGCCCAGGAACTACACGTATCTCCATCAGGCAGGCTGCCTGATGCAAGCAAGGTGGGGAACCAGGATAGCTTGCCCCTCCTCCTCCTCCTCCTCCTTCTCCTCTTCCTTCTCCTCCTCTCTCCTCCCCAGACCTCCGACGTCGTGTTCTCTTTGTCCACGGCCTGGGACCCCAGAGGTCTAGACCCAATCCCCAGGACTGGCTTTCCGTCCTGACTCGTGTTTTGGCCTCCTCCTCCTCTCGCGCCTCCTCCCCGTCGCCTTCCTCCTGCCCCCTCATGCCGCTCCACGTCCTGCTCAACCTCGCTCGTGTCGCTGCCCTCCCCGTCCGAGGGCGGGGGAAGAGGGAAGAGAGGAGGAGGAGGAGGAGGAGGAGGAGGAGGAGGAGGAGGAGGAGGAGGAGGAGGAGGAGGAGGAGGAGGAGGAGGAGGAGGAGGAGGAGGAGGAGCAAGCGGAGGATGAGGATGATAGAACAATGCAGGTCGGCATAAACACAACCTTTTGGAGGTCTGTACGGCTTTCTCGGAACCCTCCACGACACGCCGTGGGGCGGCGCCAGAATGGCGGCCTGGGGGGCTCCGGCGCAGTTACGTAGTAGGTGGTCCTCTTCGAGAGGAGAAATGGAGACAAGACCGAACTTGATCGACCTGTAGAATTCAGACGTCGCCTCGATGCCAATGACATCTCCGCCAGGAAGCGGCTCGCTGGGCACTCTGAGTTGGGAAACGCTGATGACCGCTAACCTTGTAGGGCGGCCTCTGATCTCAGGCAGAGCCGCATGGCCCCTTTCAAGGGCAACTCCTGGTCAAGTACGCACCCAAAAGGCGCCTCCGAGGGGACCGACTAATTACGCATCCCGTCCAGGAGGACAAGAAGGATGATCAGGAGGATGAGGAGGTTGAGGAGAAGGATGAGAGGGAGACGGAGAGAGGAGATGGCTGATGATGCCAGTGCATCAATGGAGGACGGTCGGGGTCCGCGAGGTACCAGCCAGATGCTCGCGCTTGGCGCCCTCGGGCCTGGTAGACAGCCATCTCCGAATTCGTGTCCTGAGGGGACGGCGTGGGACAAGCTGGCGACGCGCCAACGGGTCACGAGAGACGAACATCTCCATGTCCAGATCCTCGCGGTCTGGATGCCGAGGCGCGATCCCGTCGATACGCGACCCCACGGACACATCCCGCGCGGGGCATCCGCGCAAAGCCTGGCCCGTATGCCGTGCAGCCGCGGCAGAGGAGACCGGACCGCGGGGTCGGGCCGTGGACATGGGGATGTGTACAGGAGAAGAAAGAACGCCAAAAACATAAACTTTTGGCGCTCCGCGCGGATTTCTTGGATCTGCGCTGGGCTCCCTCCCCGGCGCGCGGAGCGCACCAGGGGCGGCGCCGGAGGCGCCGCTAGGGGGGCCCCAGCGCGGAGCCAAGACATCCGCGCGGAGCGCCAAGAGTTTATGGTTATGGCGCATGCACGCGAACTTCGGGACCTGCGGGCGGGAAGCTCAGCTGCCCAGGAGGCCTCCCCCTCCCCCCATTATGTAGGGGCACCAGCAATGACACAAACAGTTCAAAAAAAATCTGGAGGTCCGCGCGGCTTTCTCGGATCGGCGCTGGACCCCATGGCGGCGCCTCTGGCGCCGCCCCTGGCGCGCTCCTCGCGCCAGGGAGGGGGGTCCAGCGCCGATCCGAGAAATCTGCGCGGAGCCGAGTTTTTATGTTTATGTCAGTTTTCGTTGGTCAAAGTTGGCGGTGGGTCTGATGAGTTGCACTTCAACGCAGGCAGTCTCCCCCGCGGGTGCCAACTTTGAGTTTGGGGGAGCGGGAGAGTGTCCACTGATTGTTTCCCCCTACCGTATCTCCTCCCCCCCTCCTCCTGCCACCCCCCCCTTCCGCCCTCTCCCCCCCCGCTCTCCCGAGAGCCACGCTGGAACACACCCGTGCTGCTGCCAGGGCTCGTTGCCGGGATGATTTTGTTCGCAAGGTGCTCTCGACCACATCCCTGGCACATATTTCCTCGCTCCGTGACTACCCCAGGGCCAGGAAAAACCCGGCGATGGGAGCAACAAACATGCCAGGAGCGGCCCGCCGTTTTGCATTTCCCATCCATCCTGTGGTGCTTGGTCCTCGTTTTGCAAAGACAGCGCCCCGCGTTCTCCTCCCGCCTCCCTTCCTCCCTCCTCCTCCTCCTTCTCCTCCTCCTCCTCCTCCTCCTCCCTCCTCCCATCCTCATCCTCATCCTCATCCTCATCCTCATCCTCATCCTCATCCTCATCCTCATCCTCATCATCCTCATCCTCATCTTCATCCTCATCCTCATCCTCATCCTCATCCTCATCGTCATCGTCATCGTCATCGTCATCGTCATCATCATCATCATCATCATCATCATCATCATCATCATCATCATCATCATCATCATCATCAGCATCATCATAATCATGATCGTGATCATCATTATCATCATCGTCATCGCTACCCATGTCGTCCTCCCTCCTCTTTCGGCACACCCTCACGCGTTTCGTGGCCCATTGGGAGCACCACCGAAGGTCCCAGTGGGACCGTCCGCATGCGTCCCTCCACACCCAGTACAGCGCTTCGTGGCCCCAGAGGGAGCTCCTCCGAAGGTCCCAGTGGGACTGCCCGCATGCGTCCGCCACACCAGGTACAGCGTTTGGTGGCCCAGTGGGGGCTCCACCGAAGGTCCCAGTGGGACCGCCCGCATGCGTCCGCCACACCCAGTACAGCGCTTCGTGGCCCCATAGGGAGCCTCACCGAAGGTCCCAGTGGGACCGCCCGGCGGGCCCATAGGGAGCTCCACAGAAGGTCCCAGTGGGACCGCCCGCATGCGCCCGCCACACCCAGTACAGCGTTTCGTGGCCCCATAAGGGGGCTCCACCGAAGGTCTCTGTGGGACCGCCCGCATGCGCCCGCCACAACCAGTACAGCATCTGGTGACCCCATTGGGAGCACCACCGAAGGTCCCAGTGGGACCGCCCGCATGCGTCCCTCCACACCCAGTACAGCGCTTCGCGGCCCCATAGGGAACACCACCGAAAGTCCCAATGGGACTGCCCGCATCCGTCCGCCACACCCAGTACAACGTTTCGCGGCCACATAGGGAGCTCCACCGAAGGTCCCAGTGGGACCGCCCGTGCGTCCGCCACACCCAAAACAGCGTTTGATGACCCCATCGGGAGCTCCAGCGAAGGCCCCAGTGGTACCGCCCGCATGCGTCTCCACCACCCACTACAGCGCTTCGTGGCCCCACAAGGAGCTTAACCGAAGGTCCCAGTGGGACCGCCCGCATGCGTCCTCCCGCCCATTACGGCACGCCCCACCACGCTTGTGCGTGGTGGCCCACCGAGAGCGGCCCCCTCAACGCGGTACTCACTACTGCATGCGGTTGGGTCTTTCGCCAGGATATTTTTTCTCCGCGGTGCGCACAGTACATACAAGCGGCAGGTTTGGCAACGCTAGTCGTGAGGAAAAAACGCGGACCAGCAGAACTAGAATCTACAACTACACCAGGGTGAGGCCGGGACCGCTCTCGGACAACCTCCTGACCGGTCAGGTTTTCGAGCCGCGCTCGGCCGTGGCCACGCGAGGGACCCCTTGAGAGCCCCGAGGAGACGCCAGGGGAAGCCAGAACGTAGTGAGGCATCACGGCCAGAGCGCTGGACCCCAGCCTGCTGCGGCACTTCTCGCGCCCGAGCTATCCCGCGGGGGGGGTCCAAGGGCACTAGAGACTGGGGCCAGGACGCCGATCGAGTTTCTGTTCGTGACTGGCGGGGGGCAGTTCTCCGAGATGGGGTCCGCGTAGATGGGGTCGAAGGATCGCGCCGCATCGCCAATACATCGCCGATGTATCGGCGATGCATCGGCGATGCATCGGCGATGCATCGGTGACGTCGGCGATGCATCGGCGACGTCGGCTTTGAGAGAATCGTGCTCCGCATCGAGCCGCATCGCCGACGCATCGGCGATGCGGCGCGATCCTCCGACCTCATGTGCTCGGACCCCGTCTGGGAGGCCTGGAGGTGAGGCGGAAACTGGCTCGTGCGGGGGGGAGGGGCAGGGCCCTGGAGTCGGCGAGATACTTCGAGGGTCGCCTCCTGTGGCGAAGACGAGCGCTCCGGGGCAGGTTGGGGCACCCCGCCCCGCCCGGCGAGGACTGGGCGATGGGGGGTCGGTGAGTCCCCGCCCCCCGCCCCTTCCGGGCCAACTCCAAGCTAACTTGAGCAGAGACTGACCGTCCTGGCATTCCCATCGGCCTACCACGACATGTTCTCAGAACCCCCAAGCAGCTCTCACAACAAGAACAGGATGTTCTTAGAACGTGAGCCCCAGGTCTTAAACAAGACAGTCTCAGCTAGAAATGTCCCAAGAACACTTCGTGCAGACCGCAAAAGGTTCTGAGAACATTCTTTGGTGGGCCTATGGGTAAGCCAGGACGCTTCGCCACTCCACGGCTTACGTTGCCCGTGAGCGACGCCCAGAACTGATGGCATCTTCCGCCCTCGCGGTCCATGGAGGCAGAGGACTCGTCCAGCACGGCGAAGAAACCCTGGGGCCCGCCCATGTGCCTCTGGTGCCACTCGGCGTGCCAGAACAGTCTGCGGGGGGACTCGCGGTTCCAGGGTTCTTCGTCGTCCTCCTCCTCCTCGTCGTCTTCGTCGCCGCTATCATCGTCACTGTGTCGGTGTCGTTACTGTCGTCGTCGCTGTCGTCGCCGTCGGAGGCTGAGGGAGGAGGAAGGAGGCAGAAGGAGTGGATGAACAGCGAGGTGAGAGGAGGAAAGGGGGAAAGGGAGAAGGAGGAACGGGAAAACAGAGGAAGGGCTCCTCCTCCTCCTCCTCCTCCTCCTCCTCCTCCTCTTCTTCTTACTCCTCCTCCTCCTCTTCTTCTTCCTCCTCCCCCTCCACCAACATCTTCCTCCAACATCATGTCTCCTCCTCCTCGTACTCTTCCTCCCTCCCTCCCGCTTGTGCTGCCCCTCCCCCTACTCCCTGACCAGCTGTAGCCTCCCGCGCGGCCGAAGCGAAGGCCCCCTCCTCTCTCCTCCTCCCTCCTCCTCCCTCTTCCTCCTCCTCTCCCCTCCGTTTCCTCCTCCTCCTGCTGCTCCTCTTTTTCTCCCCACCTCATCCTTCCTCCTCGCTCCCCCTCCCCCTCCTGCTCCGCCTCTTCCTCCTCCTCCACCTCCTCCTCATCTTCCTCCTCATCATCATCATACTCATCCGCATCCTCATCCTCATCCTCATCCTCATCATCGCCATCACCATCATCGTCATCATCACCCTCCTCCTTCTCATCATCATCACCATCATCAGCATCATCATCATCATCATCATCATCATCACCATCATCATCATCATCATCATCATCACCAGCACAGCATCAGCATCGACATCATCAGCAGCACACTCATCATCATCATCATCATCATCCTCACCATCATCCTCAGCATCATTATTATCATGATCATCATCAGCATCATCACCCTCATCATCATCATCAGCAGCATCATTATTGTCAGCATCGTCATCGTCATCGTAATCAACACCACCACCATTACCACCATCACTACATTAAGCATCATCATCATAATCATGCTCATCATCAGCATCATCATCATCATCACAATCGCCATCATCAGCATCATGACAATCATCATCAGCATCCTCATCAACGTCATCATTAGCAGCATCATCATCACCATCACCATCACCATCATCATCATCACCACCATCATCGCCATCATCATCTTCATCACTACCACCATCATCGCCATCATAAGCAACCACACTAACACCAACACCAAAACCATCATCATCATGATGGTCATCATCAGCATCATCATCATCAGCATCATAACCATTCTCATCACCACCACCATCAGCATCGTCCTTAGCACCACCATCATGATCAGTATCATGATCATGATGATGATGATCATCGTCAGCATCATCATCACCATCAGCATACATCATAATCACCATACTCCTCCTTATCATCATCATCAGCATCATCATCATCATCATCATCACCAGCATCATCATCATCACCACCATCACCATCATCATCATCACCATCATGATCACCGACATCACCATCACCATTACCATCATCGTCACCAACACCATCATCATCATCATTATTATCATCACCATCACCATCGCCACCATCAACATCATCACCAGCAGCACCATCTTCATCACCACCACAACCATCACCATCATCACCATCACCATCAAAATCATGATGATGATGCTGACGATAATAATCATCACAATCCTCCTCATCATCATCATCACCATCACCATCACCATCACCATCACCATCATCATCATCATCATCATCATCATCATCATCATCATCATCATCATCATCATCATCTGCTCCCTTCTTCTCCTCCCTTCTTCTCCTCCTTTCTTCTTCTTCTTCTCCTGCTCCTTCTCCTCGGCCTTCTCCTCCTCCTCCTCCACTTCCCCCTCCTCCTCCTCCTCCTCCTCCTCCTCCTCCTCCTCCTCCCCCTCCTCCTTCTCCTGCTCCTCCTGTTCGTTCTGCTCCTCCTCCCCCCTCTCCTCATCCTCCTCCTTCCTCCTCCATCCTCCTCCTTCCTCCTTCTCCCGCCTCTTCCTCCTCCTCTCGTTTCTCCTCCTCCTCCTCCTCCTCTTCCTCCTCGTCGTCGGCCCCTGAGGCCCCCCCTGTGCGGGCGCCCGAACCCCTTGGTAAAACATTCTGATCTCTCAAAGGCGCCACTTTTACTTCCGCGAGCCTTCTGCCAGCGGAAAGGCCGCCCTCGCTCTGCTTCCGCCGGCCTTCCGCCTGCCTCCGCCGAGGAAGAGGTGCTGGCTTCCTGGATCCCTCGGAGGCGATGGCACTTCTGAAACGCCCTCGCCAGCGACACGCAGGAGCGGCCCTGGGCAGCAGTGACCTCTGATGCGCGGCTCGCTGCTGATCGCTGCGTGCGGTGCGACGGTGACGGCCTGCGTGCTTGGGTCTGGCCCTTCCGGGCCCCGCCGAACAGCCGCGCACCAGCAGACACCCTGGCGAAGGGCCACTCCTGCGTGTAGCCGGCCCTCGAGGAGACAGGCGCTCGGAGCAGGCCACGGGCCGTGAATCTCTCGTGGCGCGGGTGGTCGAGCAAGCGGTGGAGGAGAGAGACGAGGAGGACTCTCACACAGTTCGCGGAAGCGGTGGCAGTGGCGCGCGCGCGGGGCGCACGGGCCACACCATCCTGGGAGAGCGAGACACCACCCCACGCACAGCCAGGCCCGGTCGACTCCATCCAAACTTGCAACCGCGGGTGGCGGAGGGCGGTTGGCAGGGGGCCGACTCCACGCCACCTGCCCCACAGTCCGCCGATGCTCCCTGCCTGCGCACCTCGTACAGGAGAGGCAGAAGGCGTAGGAGGATAGGAGGGAGAGGAGGAGGAGGAGGAGGAGGAGGAGGAGGAGGAGGAGGAGGAGGAGGAGGAGGAGGAGGACAAGGAGGAGGAGGAGGAGGAGGAATAATAATAATAATATTAATACTAATAATAATAATACTAATAAGAATAATAATAATAATAAGGATAATAATAATAATACGAAGAACAATAAGAATAACACATAATATTAATAAGAACAATAAACATAAACATAACAATGATACTAATAATAAGAAGAATAATAATAAGAAGAAGAATAATAAGAAAAAGAAGAAGAGGAGGATGAGCAGGGGGAGGAGGAGGACGAGGAGGAGAAGGAGGTGGAGAAGGGGAGGAGGAGTGGGAGCAGGGGGCGGGGGAGGGGGAGGACGACGAGGGATCCTGCAGAACTGCAGGCGCTGCTGCTCCCCGAGGCTCAGCACGTCCTCCCAGGAGATGCCTGTGGTGTCGAGCTCGTCCTTGCGCGCCTCCCACACGTCGCCCAGGTTGGCCTTCGGTTGGCGTGGCGCTCCGAACTTCTATCGCTTTTCGGCTAACTTGTGGAGGAGGAGGAGGAAGAAGAGGAGGAGGAGGAGGAGAAACAGCTGAGTGGATGACCGTGACGCAGCAGGAGTAGGCACTCGTACTCTGTGGCAGAAGGCGGCATGCCCGTTGCAGGCTGTGACATCGCCCGTGCCGAAAGAGTGAGGCCCTTTATGGGGCCCAACAAGGCCGAGATGCCAGAGGAACCGTCCCGAGGAACGACTGACATACGGCAAGCCCGCGCCGCGGTGACGCCGGCGCTGGTTCCTGACACCGCGTGAATCGCCCAACCCGGAACGATGGCGGCTCCCCGATTGCGCAGGCCGTGCGATATAAAGCTCATTCTGGGCTACCGGCGGTGCTAAGCACTGCATCGTCATGAATGAGAAAAGGGTCCTGAGGGAAACGGGTTCTCCTAGACCCAGGCTTTCCCCTACGACCCGCTCTTCATTCTGAATCATGCTTTGAACGGGGTCCGAAAAAGGTGGAACACTCCCAGGGCTCTTTCCTCCAGGACCCGTTTCCGCCATGCTAACTGAGCGCCCGCGCCGGAGCCGCCGCCGCGTCGACGCGTTTTGAACTTGCCGCAAAGAACACTTAAGCCTCTTGTGGGCCCAAGGTTGCCGTCTCAATCTCCACGTCGCCCAGGCTGGCGTCCAGAGTTGCCCGGGCATGGGCCGAGTGGCCCAGGATGCGGGGTCTTCTTGCAACAGCGCTGCGTCCTCACGAAATACTTGTTGTACACATGTAGCGAATATTTGACGCAGTCAGGATGTGTCCGAATCCCACCCAGTAGGGAGAGGAGGGGAGGATGATAGGGGGGCGCGCCTGGTGGCATCTTAGATGTGCCCTGGGGCCATGGAGGAGGACGAGCAGCACTGGCCCCCCAGAGCGCCGCCATGACGATATTGGTTACCATCCTCTCCGACGGAACGAGAACGAGCTCATATAACAAATGCGCACCAGGACACTTTACGCACACATAGCTGGACTCACTGGCAAACTTTTTTGCGTCGGCGGCTAAGCAGAGGGTGACTGCGCTGGCGATGAGAGGCTTAAGTGGGGATGCTTTTGGAGCGAAGTGTGCCACCTTGCAAGAGGAGGAGCGAGAAGAAGAAACTCACTTGCAAACACGCGGAATCACATCCAGAGGGTGGGCGCACCCGCCGACGCGAGGGCCGGGCGCTGGGGAAGCCACGCGCCTTCGCCAACAAGCGCTGAGCTGGGCACCCCGAGGCCAGCCATGCCTCGACCAGAGGCTTCGAGGCCGACCTCTGGAGCTGTGTCCCCCGAACTATGATCCTGCCAATCTTCAAGTAAGTACTCATCAATGGGTGAGGCAAGACTTGGACTGCTCTACTGCTGTTGAGAACCGCCACCGACGCAGTGGACGGCTGTTCCCCGAAGTCGGACGGGCGAGCGCAGCAAGCGGAAGCGCCGCTTCGTGTGCAGCAGCTGCACTGTGGGGTCTCCAGAAACCAGCACCCCGCAAGCAGCTAGGAAGCGGGTGCAGGGGCGCGAGCCACGAGCATAACTATCCATATCTCGGCGGCGAGCAAGGGGGGGAAGTAAGAAGGGGCGGGCCTTCTCAGAAGGCTCGGAAGTCCCCCAGCCTTCTGAGACATGTGCTCCAAGCCTTCCCCGAAGACACAAAACAGCAACCTCTCAGAGGGCCCGAGGGCTACTCAGAAGTCTCGCTGCCTTCTGAGAAGAGAGACAGAACACGACATAAACATACACTTGCCACGGTCCGCGCGGAGTTCTTGGATCTGCGCTGGACCCCCCTCCCTGGCGCGCAGAGTGCGCCAAGAACGGCGCCAGAAGCGCCGCCAAGGGGTCCCGCGCCGATCCGGGAAATCCGCGTGAAGCGCCAACAAGTTGTGTGTATGCCGTCGTTTCTTCTTTTTCTTCTTCTTCTTCTCCTTCTTCTTCTTCGGGAGAAGGCCTTCTCCTTCTCCTCTGTCCCCCCTCGCTTCCCCCCCCGCTCGCCGCCGAAATCAGTTCTTCTTCTTCTTCTTCGGGAGAAGGCCTTCTCCTTTTCCTCTGCCCCCTTTCGCTTCCCTCCCTCCGCTCGCCGCCGAGTTCAGTTTCCGGGTCACAGCTCGGGTCCCCGGCGGCCGCTTGGGACGAGCCGAGCATCTCCCCGAGCCGCTCGCGGGGAGGCGCAGCCGCTGGAACGCATCCCAGGGGCGGGAGGCCGCCAAGAGACTACGGCAGCGCCCTCGCACGCCGCCGAGGTGTCATGCCCTCGCGTTCTGGATTTCGACCCCGGGGACGTCTGCGCGATCGCAGGGGCGCGCGTCACGCGCGAGGCGGCCCCCCCCGCGCAGCGCCGCGCACCGCACATCCGTGGAAGAACGCGGCCGACGGTCCTGCTCTCTGTCCCGCCCGCGGCGGAAGGCCCACGCGGCGCGCCTTCCCCCCCCCCCCACACACGAAGAGTTGCCAGCCGTCCCCCCCCGCGCACCCTCAGGCGCCTCGGACGCCCCTGCTGCCTGCTCCCCTTGGGTCGGGCATGTCCTCCTACAGGCGGATCGTGGAAGAAAAATGCAAGCGCAATCAGACAGCACTCGAACACAATCCAAAAGTAATCGACACATCGCCGCCAGACCGTTTCTTTACTCCTCTTTATAATATTCTAGGGGGGCGAAAAATGGCATAAACATAAACACTCGGAGGTCCGCGGGGACTTCTCGGATCCGCGCTGGACCCCCTCCCTGGCGCGCGGAGCGCGCCAGGGGCGGCGCCGGAGGCGCCGCCAGAGATGTCCAGCGCGGATCTGAGGAATCCGCGCGGACCTCCGAATTTTCATGTTTATGCCACTTTGCGTCCCCCTGTGACTACTCCTCCCGTTAGGGTGGCGCGCCCGACGTGATGCTCCCCCCCGACGTGAGCCTCTCCGAGACCCACTGCGGGCCCACTCCGCCGCGGCCGCGGCGTGCCGCGCCGTGTGGGGGGGGGCCGGCACTCCTCCTGCACGAGCCCCCTGGGGGCCCCGACACGACCCGAGATCCACCTCCTCCTCCTCCTCCTCCTCCTCCTCCTCCTCCTCCCCTCCCCTCCTCCTCCTCCTCCTCCTCCTCCTCCTCCTCCTCCTCCTCCTCCTCCTCCTCCTCCTCCTCCTCCTCCTCCTCCTCCTCCTCCCTCCTCCTCCTCCTCCTCCTCCTCCTCCTCCTCCTCCTCCTCCCCTCCTCCTCCTCCTCCTCCTCCTCCTGCTCCTCCTGCTGCTCTCCTCCTCCTCCTCCTCCTCCTCCTCCTCCTCCTCCTCCTCCTCCTCCTCCTCCTCCCCCTGCTCCTCCTGCCCTCCTCCTCCTGCTCCTCCTGCTCCTCCTGCTCCTCCTGCTCCTCCTGCTCCTCCTGCTCCTCCTCCTCCTCTCCTCCTCCTCCTCCTCCTCCTCCTCCTCCTGCTCCTCCTGCTCCTCCTGCTCCTCCTCCTCCTCCTCCGCCTCCTCCTCCTCCTCCTCCTGCTCCTCCTGCTCCTCCTGCTCCTCCTGCTCCTGCTCCTGCCTCCTTCTGCTGCTCCTCCTCCTGCTCCTCCTGCCTCCTTCTCCTGCTCCTCCTCCTTCTCCTCCTCCTCCTCCTCCTCCTTCCTCCTCCTCCTCCTCCTGCTCCTCCCTCCTCCTCCTCTCCTCCTCCTCCTGCTCCTCCTCCTCCTCCTCCTGCTCCGCTCCTCCTCCTCCTCCTCCTCCTCCTCCTCCTCCTCCTCCTCCTCCTCCTGCTCCTCCTGCTCCTCCTGCTCCTGCTCCTCCTCCTCCTCCTCCTCCTCCTCCTCCTCCTCCTCCTCCTCCTCCTCCTCCTCCTCCTCCTCCTCCCCCTCGTCCTCGCCCTCTCCTCCCCCTCGTCCTCCCCGTGGAGGGGACCGTTTTACTTTTTTTGCGCTTCGACCTTGGGCGGAAGGGGCCCAGACCCCCTCGAGGAATGAGAAAATCATGACTGGAGGCTTTTCGCCTTTGTGGGCCTCTGGGGGCCCTTCCCGGGCCTCGGGGCCATCAAAAAACTACTCAGGATGGAAAACCTGTCCTGGGGAATATTCGGAATAGGTCGAAACCTTTGGGGGTCGACGTCATGAACAATTCATGACGTCGGGGGTCTGGATTGGGCGGAAGGGGGGGGGGTCTGGCTCTGGAACTCTGCTTAGTGCGACTGTTTCCAGCAGTGCGTCCTCTGGGCGGAGGCTCCACAGGAGCCAAAAACAGCCAAGGTCCACTCCATGGGTGGGGGGGAGTGGGGGTGCGAGGGCCCGAGATCGCGGAGCCGCAACGTGTTTCCACACCTTGTTGTGGCGGCGAGCGAGGGGGGGAAGTGAGAAAGAGAAGGCCTTCTCAGAAGGCGGTGGGGCTTCTCAGAAGCCCTCGCGCTTTCTGATAGGTTCTTTGCGTCTTCGGGGAAGGCTTAGAAAACTTCTCAGAAGGCCGGGGACTTCCGAACCTTTTGAGAAGGCCTTCTCCTTCTCACTTCCCCCCCTCGCTCGCCGCCGATTGTTTTTTCGCACGGGATCGGGCGCCCAGTCCAGACCCCCTCGCGCTGCGAAAACATCGCGACGGGAGGCTTTTCGCAAATTTCGGCCTCATAGGGGCCTTTACCGGGCCTCGGGACCGTCACAAAGACGACTCAGGACGAAAACCCGGTCCCGGGGAAGGGGTTCAGACCTCTAGATAGGGGTCAACGTTGTGAAAAAAAATTGCGTCGGGGATCGGGCAGGTGTCCTCGTACATCTTGGGGGTAGGGGGAGGGGGGAAGGCTTCCGAGAAAGAGGCTGCTTTTTTGACGGCGCGGGTCCTGCATCTATAGATAAGGCCCGCGCCTTCCAAGCAGCAGGGTTGCTTCTGAGAAGCCCTCCCCCCCACCCCTCTCTGCGCGTGGCTGATCATCGACTCGGCTCGGAAGGTGCCACGCGCAAAGGGTTGGCCTGGGGCTCTCGTCGTGATTTTCCACGGTGTCGGTCTTGGTTCGCGTCGTCGGATCTCAGGGCGGGTCCAAACTCGGCCTGGTCGGCGGCCCTGACTCCGCCCTGGACGCTGGATCGGAGGGGCACAGCAGCTGAGGCCTCCTTGAACAGCCGCTCCATCCTGTCGTCGTCCAGGTCTCGCAAGAGTGCCGGGTCCCAGACGGGATAGGCGAGCTGCTCCCTCAGCGTCCCCTCGAACAAATACGGCCGCTGCGCCAGGAAGAAGACGTTCAGCGGCCCCGGTCTCCAGAAGCTCGACTGCGTGCCTCTCGCCGGCATCACTCGCGCTTATTTTTCGGCCAACTATTCTGAAAGAGGCGGACCGACGGGGCGCAAACGCCGCCCTTCCTCCCTGCCCTCACCTTGACCTCACCCAGGCGTCTCAGGCAGGCTTCGTCAGTGCTTTGCTCTCGCCTGCTGATCTGAGCGAGGCGGGCTTTGCTGCAGTCTAGGCGGCGGGTGCCTCTCGTGTAACTTTTTCGTTCCAGCGGACCGATGGCAATGCAGACGGCAGTCAATTCACGGCTCCCTGCTGCTGTGGGTGCCTCTCCCGCAACTTGCTCCTGCTCCTGCACCTGTCCATTCTTCTGCTCCTGCTGCTGCTGCTGCTGTTGCTGCTGCCTTCTCGCCCCCGCAGACAAAAGCTCGAAAGCGTTAGAACGCCCCACTGATAAGCCGAGCCCCTGAAAACCGGCGAGCGAGCTCCGCAGGAGGCCCTTCCAATCCGTCCAGGGTCCCGATCCCACGAGACTTCGCAAGGAATCCAGATGGATCTGGCCAGTCACCGACAAACCATAATTCAACATGGGGGAAAAGTGGCCCGAGGGAAACGGGTCCTGCACCCCAGGGCTTCCTCCTCGGGACTAATTCTTCATATCGAGCTGTCTTTTGACGATCCTGGAGCCTGGGAACGGCCCCTAGAAGCCGACAACAGTGAAAAAGCCACAGCCACAGGACTCGCTTTCCTCATGATCTGCTTAGGAGAGGGAGAGTCGTGGTAATAATGATAATGCCATGCATATTGCTGATAAGTCGAACGATCACAAGAAGTCGGCATAACCTTGAGCTTGCAAAGGTCAGCGCAGACTTCTTGGGTCGGCGCTGAACCGCCGCCAAGAAGGCTCAGCGCCGACCCAATAAATCTTCGCGGACCTTCAGAGTTTATGATTGTTGAGCCCTTCCTCCATTGCGACTCATCCCTCAGAGCCCGGCTGGGGTGGACTCCTCTTCTCGATGATCCGCAGAGCGTGTGCTAGCGCCCACGTGTGCTTGTCCACCTAGGCCCCTCATCACGAAGCAAGCTGCGTGCTGCTGGGCTACCACGCGTTCGGAGGAACATCCGCCCCCCCCCCCTCCCATCGGCGCCGCTGGGTCCAGGCGTCCGGAAGAGCGGCCACAGCTGCCCCAGCACGCGCAGCAGCGAAGACTTGCCGATGCCGCTCGGCCCCATGATCAGGCAGCTCTCGCCGGGCCCGAGCCTCAGTCTACACGTCAGGGTGACTCTGGCAAGAGCAGCCTTTGGTGCGCGGGCTGCGGATCGTTGCATGCGATTCGACCGTGGCGGCCTGCGTGCTTGGGCTTGCCCCCCCCCCCCCCCCAATGTTCCCCCTGCCGAGGGTATCTCTTGCGTGAAGCCGAGCGCCTTAGGCTGACGTCCCGGAGAAGCAGGCGCAGCCCGTCAGGGGTGTACACGTCGACGTGCTTGAACCCGATGCCGTCGCTGATGTACACGGGGACGACCTCGCCGCCATACAGCGGCCTGACGTTGTAGTACTGGATGAAGCACAGCTCCTCCTCCGCGTCTACCAAGCACCCGTGCACACCGCGGAACAGCTGCCGCCCCATGAGACCACCAGTCTCCCGCAAGTCGAAGATGTGAAATGCGTCCATTACTTCGAGCAGCTGGATGACCCGTAAGAGCATTGCCTGCGCTTTTGCCAGGTCCACCATGTTCTTTGATATCTCCATGCAACACCGCAAGATACGAACAAAAGTAAGGTTGACGACGTAGAACGTTGTCTCAGACATGTCCGTCCATTCGCCTTGGCGCACAATGAAGGCAGCAATGATTGTGCCAATGGGTGCGACGCCGAAGTAGAGGGAGAGCTGGATCAGCTCAACAAAGAACTTCGCTCTGGCGAACTGTTTAAACGCCGCCTTGACTTGTACAAAATGGGCGTCCAACTGTTTGGACTCCGTTGCCTCCCCGGCGTAGAAACACACCGACTCCGCGAACAAGCGGCACTTGGCGTGTGCAGCGCGCAAGTTCGCCTCGCAGCTCTGCACCCGTGCCTGGGCAGCTGTCAGCGACTTTGAAGACAGGATCGTGGGAACCAAGGAAACTCCTACAATGAATAAGGACACCAAGATGGCCATAAGTCCCTTTCCAGGAGCCTTCTGCTCGGTCTCAAAATGAGCAACGCCGAGCGTGGGCAGCAGGAAGAAAAGCATGGAGCACATGCCAGCCTCAGGCTTCATGATGCCTCCGAAGACGAACTCAAAAAGAAACTGCATCATCAGATCGACATCGTTCGTGATACGGGACCCAGGCGTGTCCACGCGATTGTCGAGATTCCCTAGAGTGTAATAGTTACGGCCGTGACGACTCATGTACAGCGAGTGTAGATGATGCGTCAACTCCTTTCGGCAAGCGATCATCGCTCGCATGGCGTAGTAGTTCGCAGCAGCCTTCGTCATGGAAATCAGGACATTGTACACCATCATGAAGCACGCGAACGCCTGGAACTCCTCCATCTGATCGTTCTTCACCATGGTCCACAGCGGTCGAACCAACATGCTGGGAACGAGACACTCGAGCAGGCCGTCCGCCATGGCGAGCGAGACCGTCTTGGCCAAGAACCCGCCCTGCTTGGAGAAGATGGTCGGCACGCAGATCCTCGCCAGGAGGGCTCTGGGGATGGGGATCCGGGAGGGAGTCGGTGAGGCCGACCAAGGGCCTGCGACGCGAACATCGACGGGCGGCTTTGCCCCCGTGCGGGCTCCGAGATCCTGATTGGCCGCCCTGGCACGAGACGTGCCGCATAACGACGGGTTCGAGTGCTCCAGATCTCGATTTTGCGTGATGTCAGACGTCATGCCTTCTGTTTCACGGCGTCGGATCTCAAGGGATGAGGAAGCGAATGAGCGGAATCATGTGTGCGCAAAGGGGGGGGGGAGGAGGATGAGAAGAAGGGCGCCGGGAAGAAGACAAGTAGGAGGATACCGAGGCGACAGAGGACGGTGACGCGGCGGACTATGCTTCTCTCACCTGTAACGAGCGCATGTGCATGTGCTTATGCGTGTGTGAGTGCGCTTCGGGCCAAAGCCCCCTCAGAGAGTGCGAGGCAGGAGGAACGGGAATGAGTAAGGTGGCGCCAGCGGTGAATTCCAGAAGCCTTTCCACAGTGGGAACCCAGGAGGATGTTGGGCCGGGGAGCTGGGGTGGTGAAAGCTCTTGGTGAAGGGAAGCTCCCACCCCGGCCCCAGCGCCTGGCCTGGCAGTCGTGGATCCAGAGCCCACAGTGCCGAGCCGAAAGCAAAAGTTTTTGTTGGGGGGACGAGGGTGGAGATGCAAGCTGGGTGCGCTCGCGCCATAGCTGACACCCCCCCTCCAACCCATCCCTTCCCATTGCGCCGATTGCCTCTATCCGCCGACGGGAGGCCGCCAGAGGACCTCAGCACGTCGTCGCAATCAGAAAGGGGGGAGCTGAATCCATCGGAGGATGGGCAGGAGGAAAAGCAGGAGGAGGAGGGAGGATGACGAGGAGGAGCAGCAACAGCAGAGGGAGCAGGAGGAACGGGATGAGCAGGGTGACCAGGGGAAGGCGGTGGATGGAGGAGGGTATGGTTGTTCCTTGGGCATAGGAGGATCACCGTGCAGCGGAGGAGGAGCAGCAGCAGCAACATCAGCAGCAGCAGTACACAGTAAGGTGATGGGGGAGGAGCGCAAGCAGAAGGAGTGGAGATGCTGGTGATGATGACAATGATGTCATGACTCCTGGTGACGATGAGGATGAAATTGAGGAAGAGCCCAGAGAGACGTGTACTAGATTATAAGGAGACGGGTGTGAAAGAGGAGGACAAGAGGAGGAGGAGGGGGAGGAGAAGTATAATGAACAGGCGACGTCCAATGAGGATGATGATGGTGCGGCGGCTGATGATGAAGATAGTGACGATGATGACGACGATGACGACGACGATGGTCATGATGAGGGTGCTGGTGAGAAGACCGAGGAGGATGATGAGTAGTAGAAGGAGGAGGAGTGGGAGGAGGAGGAGGACGAAACGAAGGAAGCGAAGGATGATGAGGATGATCCCCCAGCACGTGCGGATGTTGCTTATGGTTATGGTGGTGATGATGACGCTGATGCTCATGATGGTGATCAGTAGCATGAGGACGCCCGCGGCGGATGAGCCGCTTCTGTTTGGGCTGTTGGTAGTCTAGTGAATTGGTGTGGATGTTGACTGTGCAGGCTGGAGCGTCCTACCCGCTGCATGCGCTGCCCCCTCCTTCAACCCGCGCCCTCCAATGGAAACCTCGTCAATGACTACCCTGGCACAGGGCTGGGACAACCGTGGGCAAAGGGGCCCTTCGAGTGGGAGCCTCTCCTCCTTCCCTTGCCTTTGTGGCCCGGGATCCTCCCCCCCTTGTGGGCTGACGCACTGCAGGGATCTGCAGTAACGACGATTGGACGGGACGGTGATGGTGATCGGCATTCTTCCACCACTCTCGTATCGTTGCTGAACGAGGTTGGCTCCCTCAGGGCGACGAGGAAGCCGACGTGCCCCGAGTCTCTGCGGGACATCCGTCTAGGCCCCCTTCGACAGAGGAACTGCTTTTTCCTTGGGGGGGTCGGAGTGCTTTCGGTGGGTGGCGGGGTGTTTCGGTGCCGATCACCAGAAAGACCCTCCGCGCAATTAAGCTTGGGATCCGGCGGGGTGTCTGGTCTGGAGAGCCATTGATATCCGTGCGCGGCCGGCAAATAGCGAAATCAATCCAGCCAACATCTCAGAACAACTGCTCAAAAACCGCAATTTCGCACGACCCCCTCGCGCCAATGTCGTAACACACGAAACAAAAACAAACGCGCAACCCGCCCTCCCCAGACTTCGACCCGCAACTCCGAAATACTACATGCGCGACGCATCTGCTAAATTATTATGCCGCCGTGGTCAAGGCCCCACCCCTGCAAGCGACGCACGCGGTCTTCCTGACGACCGCGGGGCGTTGAGAATCACTCGGTCGATGTGCCCGTGCCCCCCTTGGGGAACCGATCTGCAGGGGCACGTGGCCGTTGGCGCATTGGGTCTTATGGACCGCCAAGTCGCGCGAGGTGGACTGATAATCGCAGCGCGACTGCGTCGATGGACACGTGCGCCGCCGCGCCTCTGGGTCGCGAGGCAATGGGGCCATTGCGCCATCGGACCTCGGCCAATCTGTTCCTGGGTCAGGCCCGCCAGGGCAACGGACCACTTGCCCAGCGGGCCGCTCGACCGCTGTGCCATTCGACCCCCTCCCTCCCCTGGGAATAAGGCCGCTGGGCAAGTGGCCCCCTCGCTCGCCGTGTACCCATCAACCCCGTGCCTACTGAGCCACCGGCGCACTGGGCCGCCAGGCCGCATGGCTGCTGGAGCATGTCTGTGATAGGGCCCCTTGCCAGAATCTGCCATTGAGCCCCAGACCCACCGCTCGCCGCTCCAGTGCATGAGGAGCACGCGGCTCGGCATGCCAGTCTGCCGCGGAGCTAGCGGGCGCCGCGCCACCAGGCAATCGCGCAACGGCGTCAGCGGGGGCGCTCTTCTGACTGAGAACAGCGTTGTGGGCCGTTGGGCCACTACGCCAGCGGGCCAGCAACAGCGCGATGCACGATGCGCTGCCAGGGTGACCACTGGGCAACCTGGGCCGCTTGGGCGCTGACCCCTCGGGCAACAGAGCCCGTAAGCCACGGGGCTGCTGGGGCACCTCGCGAGCTCGGCCGCTGGGCCTCTCGGCCGGCGACCAACGGTGCGCCGCTCGCCCCGCGGGCCGCTCGGCATGTCGGGCGGAACCTGCCTGCGGGGGCAGTGGGTCAGGGGGGCGGGGTGGGGCGGGGGGGGCCTGGGTGAAAGCCCGCTCGTTGCCGGGCCGCTGTTGGAAGCGAGCCGCGCGACGGGCGCGCCGCGTTGGCGCTCGGCCGCTCGGCCTCTGGGTTAAGTAGACACTGCGCGGTTGGGCCAGCGTGCCGCGTTGCCGGCGGCAGACGCGTAACTGCGCATCCCCGCAGCTGCGCGACGCGCCATCGACTGGCGCGCGGCGCCAATGACACTAGGCACTAGGCCGATCAGACAGACAGCCGGCATTGGACAATTGCCATTGGGGCAACGTAGCAATGCCAGAATTGCGCAAGTGGGCGAGGGGGTGGTGGGCCAATTGACAACGCGGCCACGCGGCCGCCGAGACACTGAAACGCGGATCGCCGGCAACCTGCGCCGCGCGGACATCGGCGGCAGAATGGGCAAAGCGCGGGCCGCTCCGAGAAGAGGGGGCGCGCGGGTTCCCGCGACCAAACGCGCCGAGCGACTCGCCGTCGCCCCCGGCGGGGCACCAAGGGGCGCGGGTATCCAAACCAGTTCTCGCGGCGCGGCGGGCGCCTGGAAACCTCGAGGCGCCTCGGCGTTGATCCGGAAGGGGCGGAGGGGCGGGGGCTCTGCGAAAATTCCTGCGACGGCCGCAGGCCGCGCGGCGACGGGGGAGGGAGGGGGCGCGTTGCGCCGAATGCGCGAACGGGGGCTGGGCGAATCTCGCGGTCCCTTATGGGCGACGGGCGCGACGGCGAAGGCCGGGAATGGCGCGAGAGCCAGGGGGGGGGGGGGGGTCGCGGGCAGGGCCGAGGCGCTCAAGCCTTGCAGCGGGGTCGAGCGCCCCGCGCGGGGCGGCCGAAATCCCTCCTGCCGCCGCGGAACGGGTCGCCAAAAAATGTGACGCGCGACGCGAGCGAAGCGTCGGACGCGCAAAATTGCGCGCGCAAGTCGTCCGCGCGAGCTCTGCTGATATTCCATCTCTTGGACACAACTGCTCAACATTCGTTAATGCAGAAATTCTGGCGCGCCGTCACAAATTCGCAGCCTAAAAAACGTTGGAACAGCGACGCTGCTAACAGTCTGCAGTAAAGAAATTCATGAAACAGTTCTTCAATTCGGAACTTTTGCCTGACATCAAGACTTCAATGCAAAGCTTCATTGCGGCAGTCTCCGGGCGCAGAGATTTTGCTTCGCGCCGGGGGCGCGACCCGAACCTGGCCTGCGAGGGCCGCCGTCAAATTTTGCGACTCCGACGCGGTGCCCAGCGTTCAATCCCCCGCCTGGCCCCAGCGCCGCGAGGCCGAGCGGGCCAGGCCACGCGCCGACCCGACCGCGACGCGGCGTCGCCCCGGGGGCGCGGGCCATGAGGCCCCGCGGCGAGGTTGCCACGAGCTTGAGAGCCCCGTGCGCAGTGCATGCGCGAGCAAGACCTGCGGCCACTGCGCGCCTGCGCCGCCCTCGCCCCAGACCCCGCTTCGCTCGCGAACCCCCGGCAGCTCGTCCCTTGCCTCGCCGCCCCATGAATCGGGGCGCCCAGGGGCCGATCGCCAGACTTGCCCGGGACCCACGCCGCCCGAGAGCCAGGGGGCCGGCGGCGAAGTCGCGCAGTGGCGCGGCGGCGGGATTGGCCACCTGCCCACTCGCCGGGCGGAAAGCGGAGGCGCTCGCCGCGCGCCCACGCAGTTGCCGCGCCACCGCGCGCAGACCTGACTCGCAGACGACGCCGACGCCTAACTGCGCGGCCCAGCGGCCGGCGCCCCCTGGGGCGCGCGAGCCCCGACGCCCGCGCGAAGCCGGGCGGCGCAATGGTTCAGCAGCCCGCCAGCCGAATGGAAGGTTCGATCGAGCGCGAGAACGCGCCCGTCGGCCTCGCCCTCGCGACCGGCCTCGCCGCGCCCCGCTGCGCGATCAAATTTTTGACGCGCGGGGCCCGAGAGCGCGCGGCCTTGCGACGCGTGGCCCAGAGAGCCCGGCCGCGGGCCACCTCTGAGCCGCGGCGCCCTCCCGGGAGGCGCGGCGGAGGCGCGGCGAGCGCCCGCCGCCGCGGCGCTGCGCTTCCGAAGCGGCCGCGCGCGCCCCCTTCGAAGCGCGACGAAGGCTTCGGGCGCGGGCGCGCGCCGCCGTCGCGTCGCGAACGTCCTGGCTGGGAGGCGCGCGTCGCAACGGCGGCGCGGCGTTTCCCGTGCGATCGCGGGCTGCGCCGACCTGGCCCCGCGTCTCCAGCGCGACGGCGCGCGCCCCTCCCCCCCCTAAGCGGCACCGCCCTCGCGCGGTCGCTCCGACGCCGCGTTCTCGCGCGGGGCGCAAGACGCGCCCCCGCCTGGCAAAACGAGCCAGGTAGACAGTGTGCGCCCAAAAAATGTCGAAGCGCGCCGCTGCCGGCGCGGGCCCGCAAATTGCCGCCGCGACGCAGGACCCCCCCGCTCCGTTCGCGCAGTCGCGCCATCGCCCCTCGACGCCCCCAGGGCGGGCGCGCGCGTCGACGCGCGGGCGCGATGCTCAAGGAGGCCCCCCGCGCGCGCCCCCTCCGTCGGGCGCCGCGTCGAATGAATCCGACTGAGCAGCCGCTGGGGTAGTTTTGAATTCTCATAGTGAGTCGTAGCGAAGCCCCACTATGACGCACTCCCACATGAAGAACCCAGTCGCATCGCGCGCTCGGTTGGGCCTGGGAAATCTCTGGTCCGCTGGAGGGAGGCGCTGGGCGCGCGTATATTTGAATCGCAACCGTCGCGCAAATTTCTAGTTGATGGCGCCAAGAAGTCGACGGCCGCTGCTTCCACAGAACTTGATCGCGGCTGCCTCTCACAAAATCATCGCGCGATCATCCTCCATCCTGACTCCTCGTCGTCATCATCCGCTTTCTCAACCGCCTCGCACCGCCCCAATGCATCCACAATGTTTCCCACGGGCGTACAATGGCAGAACGGCGCGGGCGTCAAGACGCGCCAAGAACAACGAGCAAGACAGGCGCGCAAAGTAGGGAGTTGCGTTGCCTCGAGCAGTGCCAGCATTAACACATCTGCGCTTTCATAAACCAACACGATCGCTCGTGCACGCCAATAGCGTCCAATCTGAGCTGTCTTCTGAAAAAAAGACACCAGGTCGGGCACCGACAGGCATCATATGTGTCCCAAATCTCATCATGAGGCCTGGATCTGCATCCCCTGCCCTCTGGACACGCTCGTAAGAATGTTCCCATCCAGTCCCAACATCAAGCGCATGACTTTCTCTCTCTCTCTCTCTCTACGCTTGGCAAGAGCTCAAACCTTGAAGCCACGAGGAGCGAGCGAGCGAGGGAGGAGAAGGAGGAAGCGGGTGGCTTCAGGAGGAGGGGAGGAGGGGCGGATGAGGAAGAGGAGGATGACGATGAGGAGATGGAAGGGAATTATGGAAGAACGAGGAGGAGGAGGAGGAGGAGGAGGAGGAGGAGGAGAAGGATGAGGAGGAGTAGAAGGAGGAGTAGAAGGAGGAGGAGGAGGAGGAGGAGGAGGAGGAGGAGGAGGTGGAAGAGGAGGAAGGAAACCTGAGGAAGAGAAGGACAGAGGAGGAGAACCATGGGGGGGGGGAGGGAGCAGCCCCTCCCCCCCTCGACGATTCTCACTCGTCCGCCGCCCTCTGGCGTCGTTGTCGCAGAGGGGTCCCGCCCACCCGCGCTCTGAAATCCGAGGCAATGTAAGCAACACGCGAGCCTCCTCCTCCTTCTCCTCCTCCTTCTCCTCCTCCTGCTCCTCCTCCTCCTCGTCCTCGTCCTCCTCCTCCTCCTTTTCCTCTCCCTTCTCCTCCGCATCCCTTCTCATGGTGCCCAACTCCTCCGCCTTCCTCTCCTTCTCATTCTCATTTAAACGAAAGGACATAAAGCAAGAAACCATAAACACTCCTCCCCCCTCGTCGTCGTCGTCCTCCTCCTCCTCCTGCTCCTCCTCCTCCTTGCTCTCCGCCGCTTCCTCCGACTAGCTCCTTCTCCACATCCTCCTGCGAAGATTTGCTCTCGACCCTCCAGTGTCGAGGAGCAAACATCCTGTAATAGGATTAGTTGTCAATGGTGCTGTAAAGTTTTGTGACACCTTCTTGGGCCCCCAGAGAACTTCGAACGCCACTGGTTTCCCCAAAAGGTCGTGACCCAAGGCGGCACTCAAACTCACCACTTCCTCCGACTGGTCTTAGACCGTCTTCCTTCTCCATCAGCCGAACCCATCACAGCCAACCCAGGGCGGCCCTCAAAACCCAGGAACGCGTCTTGAATAGTCAGGTCAACGCCTCCCCTTCTCCTTTCCCCCTCCCTTCTTCCCTGCTGCTCACTTCCTTTCTCCTTCTGCTCTCTCTCTTCACGTTCTTTTCCTCCCCCCTCCTGCTCCTCTCTCTCCTCGCTCCCTCGCATTCAAGTCAAGACACGCGCGCGCCGCTCTTTGCTATCTGAGTTCGCCCCGGCTTTTCGGCCGGCGCTGTTTCCGGCTGCGCGCGCGCGAGGCATCCTAGGCAATGGTGACCTTCGTTGCGCGGCCTGCTGACCGTCACATGTGATGCGACAGTGGCCGTCTGCGTGCTTGGGTCTGGCACCCCCGCGGCCCCCCGTGCAGGGCCCCTCTGCCCAGGGTGGGCTCGAGGGCCGTTTGGCAAAACGCTCCTTCGTGAAAGCGGCCCACAGGAGCAGACCCGGGGGGCGCAGGCCCGCACAGAAGCATTCGGCCGCAACGCCCTCTCTCTCTCTCTCTCTCTCTCTCGAGAGAGAGAGAGAGAGAGAGAGAGAGAGAGAGAAAAAAAAAAAGAGAGCCAAGACAATTAGCTTTAGGTCGGGCCAGTCCCCCTACAAGGGGATTTCGGACGAAAATTAAAACATATCCCAAACATATTCCAAAATGGTCCAGAATACTCAAGAAATCGTCCCCTGACTATTTTTCTAAACTATCTTTAATTTTTCCCCCTGTAGAGGGACATGCCCGACGTAAAGCTATCGACACTTTAAGGCGGGAGTTCTGCACTCGTAGACTTTGGCTTGGCGGGTCGCGGCGGCGGCCCCGGCGACACGCCTGTGCCCTGCGAGCGGGCCGCGGGCCGCTCGGCCCCCGCGGGGCGGGAGGCTCGGAAAGATTCGGGACGAGGAGGCCGGGGACCTCAGGGCCTGGGGCGTGGGCAGCCGTGCCGCGCCGGAGCGCGGTGGGCCAGAGCCGGCGCCGCGACACGCTGAGCCAAGGTTCCTGACTGCATCAACCTCCGACTCTCGCGTCCATAGCCGATGGTGCCGAGAGGGCCACTCCGGCGAAGGGCCACTCCTGCGCGCAGCCGGCCACACCGAGAGGCCGAGCGGCACCCTGAGCGCCGCGGCCCGCGACGCCCCGCCCGAGCTGCCTCAGAGGGAGCCCAGGATGTCCTTATCCGCGTCCCGCGTGAGCAACTCCCGCATCCCCTCCGGCAACGTCGGCTCCCACTCGCCTCCGCCGCCCCGGCGAGCCACGTACCGGAAGCCCTCCATGCACACGGAGTCCGCCACGCCCCTCTCGCCGGTGGAAGGGGCCTCTAGATGAACCAGGAGTAGCATAAGCATAATTTATCGGAGGCCCGCGCGGATTTTTCGGATAAGCGTTGGACACCCGTTGCTGGCGCGTGGAGCGCGCAGGGGCGGCGCTGGAGGCGCTGCCAGGGGTGTCCTGAGCAGGTCCGAGGACTCCGCGCGGAGCTTCGACTGATGGTGTTTATGTTTTTGTCTTCCTCGGGCCTCGATTTCGGGGGAGTCTATGAAGGGTATCTCCGCCAGAGACCGCGCCTCTTCCATGACGCAGCGGGTGACCAAGACCGCGGTGTCGGTGGTCATTTGCATCTCCCGGAGGTGCCTCCGGTGCGCGAAGCCGAGCTTGCGCAGCTCAGAGGTCCGGTCGTCGCTGCCGTACGTGCCGTCCTCCCGCTCGATGATGTTGCCCAGGATCCCCCCGAAGACCACGGCGTCGAACGCTGTGCAGTCGTGCGGCTCCAGGGCCTCCTCCGCGTCCATGTCGAGCAGACAGATGCGGTCCCATGCCGGCAGCGCTGCCGGCGAGGCCGCGCCCGCGGCCGCCGTGCCGGCGTCAGCACCGCTGGAGCCCGCTGTGCTGGCGGCGCCGCACTCCGCCTTGAGCCTCTGGAGGCCCTCCGCCCATGTCCGCGGCGGTGCGGCGCCTGCTGGCGCCAGGTCGGCAGGGTCCTCGCCCTCGGGCCAGTGAAGGAAGAGGAGCCTCTCCGGCGGGATGAGCTGGCAGATGTGCCGGTACTCCAGGCGGCACCTGGAGGGCCCAAGAGATGCCCGGCCACACGCAAGAGTGGCCCTATGCAGGCCACAGTGGCCCTTGGTCCTTGATTTTTGTCGGGGTGCGCGGAGGGGTTAGACTCAAGCGCGCAAGCTGCTGCTATCGACTCGCATGGAACGATCAGGGGACCCTGGGTACCAGATGCCGATGCCGCTACTCCCCAAGCCTCTACCAGGGTACGCTCCGACCCAGATCCGGGGCGAGCACCGCCGTGGCGACAAGGGCCCACTCCCAGGAGGCTCAAAAAAGGCGAGTCTGATGGATGGGCATCGGTGTTGGTGCCCCTGGGTTGCGACATCCGAAACGTGCCCCCTCCAGCCACAGACTCTCTTGAATCGATGGGAGGCGGTGGTAGGGTTCGCAATTCGCCACGTGCTCGACAGACTCCGGACCCCACCCTCGCCCCCCATCGAGTTGCCTGAATCCCAGACCCCCGACGTCACGATTTGTTCATGACCTCGACCTCCAGATGCTTCGACCCTTGCTCCGGGACCAGCTTCTAATCCCGAGTCGTTTGCTGCCGGTCCCGAGGCCTGGTATAAGAGCCCCTCAGAGGCCGAACATGGCGAAACTCCTGCTTCCGTCCTGATTTTTGGTCACTGCTCGAGGGGGTCTACCGCTACTGCTACAACTACGACGATGGGGAGAAGGAGGAGGACAGCGTTTACCGCTCCTACTAATGTTGCTGTCCTAGAGGCTCCAACTCCTAGGTAGGGTCGCACTGGGATAATTTCACTGCTCGAGGGGGTCGTAGGGTCGTGGATCGGCGAGGGCAGGGCTCGGCTTTCGCCACCGCGCCGCCTTCGCTTCCTCACAGGCGCTGGGGGGGGGGGGGGGGGCCCCCCCCCCCCCCGCCAACAGCCCCCATCATGTTAGGTCAGGCGCGTCCTCCTACAGGCGGACTTTGGAAGAAAACATGGAAAACGGAAAACAGTATAACGATGTGCTCAAAAGTAGCAGGAAAAAATAATCGAACAATCGCCCCCGCATTATTGTTTTACTGTTCTTGAATTTTCCGCCTGTAGAGGGACAGGCCCGACTTAACGCTGGGGGGGGGGGGGGGGCGCCACCCTCCCGCCGACGGCCCCTCCCATACTGCGACCCCCGCGTCGAGAGGACGGCCGCCGCGCGTTGGGGGGGTGCGCTCTTTCTGGCCCTTCGCCGCCAGGCGGTGCTTGCCGAAGCGCTCTCTGGACGCGCCCCCGGAAGGGGCTGTGCAGTGCGGGCGCGGCCGCCAGAAGAAAGCAAGAAACCCTCGCCCCGAGTCCGCGCGGGAGGAGGAGGAGGAGGAGGAGGAGGAGGAGGAGGAGGAGGAGGAGGAGGAGGAGGAGGAGGAGGAGGAGGAGGAGGAGGAGGAGGAGGAGGAGGAGGAGGAGGAGGAGGAGGAGGGAGGAGGAGGAGGAGGGAGGAGGAGGAGGGAGGAGGAGGAGGAGGAGGAGGAGGAGGAGGAGGAGGAGGAGGGGGGGGGGGGAGCGGCAGTGAGTGACGTCATTGGATGATGATGATGATGATGATGATGATGATGATGATGATGATGATGATGATGATGATGATGATGGTGGTGATGATGATGATGATGATGATGTTGATGATGTTGATGATGTTGATGATGTTGATGTTGATGATGTTGTAGATGATGATGATGATGATGATGATGATGATGATGATGATGATGATGATGAGGAGGAGGAGGAGGAGGAGGAGGAGGAGGAGGTGCCATTCGGGGGGTAATTCGAGGCACCCCGAACTCAGCAGCCTCTCGACGCCCGAGAGAGGGCACCACGCAGCGGGCGCAGCGAAAAGAAGCCACATGCACACTGACGGAGCGCATCTGGTTGTAGGTCGGGCGTGTCCTCCTACAGGGGGAGTTTGAACAAAAAACAAAGGTGTCAAAAATAATCCAACATTGCCAAGCATAGTCAAACATCCTCCCCATATGATTTTGATTGCTTTTGAATTTCCCTCCTGCAGAGGAACACGCCCGACTTAAATCTGGTTTCTTGATGCGCGTCCCCACTGTACAGAAAGAGCCTGCACGATGCCCAACAGCAAATATTGCCCCAAGCAGGCAGCGGCCGCCGTCAGGCAGGCGACTTTTGGTCGTCGTCGTCGTCGTCGTCGTCGTCGGCGTCGTCGTCGTCGTCGTCGTCGTCGTCGTCGTCGTCGTCGTCGTCGTCGTCGTCGTCGTCGTCGTCGTCGTCGTCGTCCCCCTTGAGAGGGTCGGCGTCGCAGCCCCTGAGGGCCTTCGCAGTATATTGTGCCCCCAAAGGGCAGCGACCGCCGTTGGGCAGCGACGATTTTGTCTCGAGTGGACAGCGTCCGCGGCGACACCGGCAGCGAATCCTGCTCAAACTGGGCAGGAACTGCCGTCAGTCTTCGTCCGACTCTGTCTGGGTCCGTGCAGCTCGTCCCGAGACGTGACGAGAGGCTGACCTCCGTCGGGGAGCCAATGCCGATCAAGGCAACTATCATTGAAGAAATCTGGGCCATCTCCCTGGAAGTTTCTTGAACCGCATCTAGGCCAACTTCTGCTCCTGACGCTGGAGGGGCGAACGTGCTCCAGAAACTGGGCCAGCTTTTCGGCGAGCTGGCTGAGAAGCGCTGGCCCAGCTTCTCGGGAGGAGTCGACCGTGCTTGCCTTTGATCGGGCATGGCCTCCTACAGGCGGATTCTGGAACAAAAATAAAAAGTACTCAAACATAATCAAACATAATCGGAAAATAGTCCAAGAATCGTCCCCGGACTATGTTTTTACGATTCTTACATATTCCTCCTGTAGAGGGACACGCCCAACTTAATACTTGCCCTACCGACGCCCATCAAGAGACGATGGACAAGTATGCGCTTCTCCTCTGAGCACCACTCTCCCGCGCCCCTCTCTCCGCGTGCCGCCCCTGCCCTATGCACGTGGCCGCAACCCCGGCCCCAGCCGTGCACCCCAGCGGTCCCGGCCGGGAGGTCCCGCCTTAATTCAGGGACGGTGGCAGTGGCCGCAAGGCCTTCACAGGATGCGCTTCTCCCAGACCCCCTCGAGCAATGAAGAAATCACGACGGGAAGTTTTTCGCCATTTTCGGCCTCGGGGGGCCCTTGCCCGGACTCGGGACCGCCAACAAAAACGACTCGGGATGAAAAACCGGCCCTGGGGAGTAGGTCGAGACCTCGGGGGGTCGACGTCACGAAAAAATCCTGACTTCGGGGGCCCGGGCTCGGAGCACCACTCTTCCACGCCCTTCTCCATGTGCTCCACGATGTACAGCGGCCCCCCGCGCCCGCGCCCGCGCGCCGCCGGCATCGCAGCCGTGCGCCCCCCCCCCCCCCCCCCCCGGGTGGCGCGCGCCGCGGGGAGCGGCCCCGCCCCCGCCGTCGGCCCGCTCCTGGCCTGCCTGGTGAGTGGACGGCCGCGGGTGGGTCGGCTACGCGCAAGAGCGACCAAAGGGGAAGGAAGGGCGGCCCTTTGGTGCGCGGCCGTCTGGGGGGCCGCGGGGGGGACCAGCCACAAGCGCGCAAGACGCCACGTTCTCGCATCGCGTTCGGCGAACGGGGGGATCCCAGCGTGGGCCCGCACCAAAAAGGTCACTCGGGCGAAGGGTCACTTCTACGTGTAGTCGGATGGGTATGGAGTTGTGAGAAAACACGACGGGAGGTTTCTCGCAATTTTCGGCATCCGGTGACCCTTCCTGGGCCTCGGGGCCGTCGAAAAACGACTCGGGATGAAAAACAGGTCCGCGAGAAGGGGTCCAGACCTCTGGGGGTCGACGCTGTGAAACAAGCACGACGTCGGGGGTCTGGGGAGGGGGACGGCGCCAGACCACTGCGTACGCATCGGCCACCTCAGCTGCGGCCTCCGGTGTGAAGGAGGAACTTCACGGCACGAGGGGCCACGAAGGAGCAGAGCTGATTGGGTGGGCGGGCGGGTCTGACGCCGCACCTCGGCAGCCAGTGGCCCACCCCCCTCTCCTGCTCCTCACCCTCGTTCTCATTCCTCCCTAGCTCCCTCCTCCCCCTCCCTCCTTCCTCCTTATTCCTCTCCCCTCCCTCCCTCCCTCCCTCCCTCCCCTCCCTCCCTCCCTCCCTCCCCCCCTCCCCTCCTCCCTCCTCCCTCCCCCTCCCTCCCTCCCTCCCTCCCTCCCTCCCTCCTCCCTTCCCTCCCTCCCTCCTCCTCCCTCCTCCTCTCCTCCTCCTCCTCCTCCTCCTCCTCCTCCTCCTCCTCCTCCCTCCTCCTCCTCCTCCGCCTCCTCCTCCTCCTCCTCCTCCTCCTCCTCCTCCTCCTCCTCCCTCTCTCCTCCTTCTTCTCTCTCACCACACCTTCAGATGAGACGCAGGACTCGAGCTTTGAGGCCTCGACATAGCACGACGGGGGGCGCCAGAAAAAGAGCACAGGACCCGACCTGAAGCTTGACGCGCCCTGCCGCTGCAGACATCGCAGGAGTAAGCTGGACCGTAAGCTTCACACGGGAGACCGTCGACAAGGAGTGGCAGCACCCAACTTCTGGCAAACTCGATTCTTACAGTGGAGGCCAGTCCACAAGCAACCTTCCACAAGAAACCCAACCCTGAGACCCCAGGACGTCCATCGCTCTTTGGTGCGGGAACGCCACGCCGCCCATCGCAAAACCATCGAAACCCGAGACACCCGGGGCACCCTGGAGGCAAGCAGGGTGTTTCTTGGCATGGGTCTCCACTGCACCACGCACTACAGGATGCGGACCGCTCTGGCCCGTGGGAGCCCCCAGAGCCCTCGACGCCCCCCCAGCGCCGCAGAGGCTGGGCATGCAAGGGGGGGTGGTGTTGTGCAAGCGCGGGCCGCCTGCGCCTGCCGGGTGATGACGCGGGGGGGGGGGGGCGGCCGCGGAGGGAGGCCGACCGACGGAGGGGGCCTGACACCTGCGGAGCAGCCCCCGCGCCTCCCACGAAGCGGCCTCCTTCCAAAAAGCCTCCCCCCCCCCCCTCCCCTACCCCCCTCTGCGCCTGGCTGACCAACGCTGCCCCTGGCAGGAGCCCCGGAGCTCCATGCCAACACCGACGAAGGACCGCGCGGGCTGGCGGCAGCGCCCGCCGCCGCGGGCGGGGACAGGACGCGGGCTTCTCCCGATCCGCGGCCCCACAACCCTCACCCCGCCGCCGTGGGTAGCTTCTTGCGCCCCGCACGGCTGCTTCTCGAAGGCCCCCGCGGCCCGTAAGCGGGGCCCAACGACCGCGTGTGCGAGGAACGGGAAAACGCCAGGATTGAACCGCACATCCCGTCGGAGGTCAGGGTTGACCGATCCTCCTTCAACGACGACGACGGCGACGACCTCCGAGGAGGCGAACGTCGACGACGACGACGACGACGACGACGACGACGACGACGACGACGACGACGACGACGACGACGACGACGACGACGACGACGACGACGACGATACCGCCAGGGTCCGAGCCAGGCGGAGGAGCTGGAGCACCAGCGAGGTCATGTTGGGGCTCGCCTCCCGGAAGCCGGAGTACGGGCTGGCGACCACCTCGCGGGGGAGGAGAGCGAGGTGATGGGGAGGGGAGGGCGGGGAGGAAGGGAAGGAGGGATCGAAAGTCGAGGTTCGAAGTTCTCTGGCGTTTTTGAGCCTCGGGGCCCGGCTCGGACCCTGGGGCTCTCAGGAAACGATCACGCGTGAGAAACTGATCAGGACGGACCCTGGGAGGGTCCCAGGGACTGCTTCAGAGGGCAAGGCGTGAGAAAGAAGGACGGGGAGGAGGAAGAGGGGCGAGGACATGACGAAGGAGGATCTACGGAGGGGGATCCACGGAGGAGGATCGACGGAGGGGGAGGGGGGAGGAGAGAGATGACGAGACAGGTGGACGGGGCGCCAGAGGATCAGGGGGGAGGAGGCGGGAGGAGGGAGGGGGAAGGATGAGAAGGGAGGTCCAGGGAGCTCGCCGAAGCGCCAGGGACGAGGAGGGACGCCGTCGTCCTCTTCCTCCTCCCTCATGTCTCCACCTCGCCCTCCTCCTCCTCCTCCTCTTCCTCCTCCTCCTCCTCCTCCTACTCCTCCTCCTCCTCAGGACGGCCAGGGCGAAGAGGACGAGGACGAAGAGGACAATGACGACGAGGCGCTCCAGGAGAAGCCCGCCGCCCCGAGCCGCCACCCCGGCGGTCGCCGCTGGCCGGGGCGCGGCCGCGGCGGGCTGCATGGCGGCCAGCGCGGCCTCGAGCTGCCGGCGCTTCACCTCGCTCCTGTGGGCGTCTCGGGGCGGACAGACGGCGGGGGGCCACGGGCACAGGAGCGCGTGCTGAGCGCGTCGCCACGGCAGCCCCGGAGCGACGCGCTCCGGCCCCCCCCAGCGGATGGCGTGCCGCTCTCTCTCGGGGGCGGGAGGCTGGCGAGAGCTCGGGACAATGGTGCTCTTTGGGACCTGTGGGGCGTGGATGGCGTGTCGCGCTGGAGCGTGGTCGTGGTGGGCCAGGACCGGCGGCGCGACACGCGGAGCAAAAGCTGGGGACCGAGCAGGGTAGTCAACGGGGGAAAACTACTTCTCCGGGAAAGAGGTTCGCTTTCCGGGGGAAGGGTTCGGTCTCTGGGCGGCCTACAGCAAGAACGACTTGAAACCATAGAAAACACCCGCGCCCACCATCCCAGCACCCCCAACACCAAGCCCCGGGCCCCAAACCCCAAACACCATCCCCCAAACACCAAGCCCAAAACACCAAATACCAAAAATCCCGAAGACCCAACCCCAAACCCCAAACCCCCAACACTAAAAACCACACCCCAAACACCAAGCTTCAAACACCGAACACCGAACGCCGTGGGGACACCGCGGGAGACATGAGGGCACATGAGGGCACACCGCGGGCAGGAGGAGGGGCATGAGAGGAGGAGAGGAATTAGAGTTAAGCAAGGCCGCACAACATGCGAACGGACCGCGCTCGAGAATCAAACCATCAGGTCAGACATCCGCGCGAACTATAGCCACGCTGGATGGTGACCCTGGTTTTTAAGTCGTTACGCCACGGGCAGTGTTGACAACGATCAGAATAACATAATTACTACCACTAGTACTCGGACTACCACTACTACGACGACGACTACTACAAGTACTACGAGCACGAATTCTA